TGGATCACACGTTTCAGCTACAAAGGAGCGACTTCAAACACTTGTGCAACTATTTGGCTGTAAACTGGAAGCAGGGGCGGCTCAACCCATTACACAAAGTAAGCATTTGCAGTGTAGTTGATTTTGCCCAGGGGCACTCTTGAGGCGCTCTTGGGGGGAGAATAGACCTTGACATATGCAAGTTGTAGTTACTGGGATGTATAGTTCACAATCAAGGAGCATTCTGAACTCCACCAATGATGGAATTGAACCAAACTTGGCACACAGAACTCCCACGACGAACAGAAAATATATATCAGTGATTGGTTGGGGGGCGGGGGAGGGGGCCAAAATACTGTTTGCTTACTGTTGAAAATTACCTAGGGTTGCCTCTGACTGGAAGCAAGACCAGACTGAAGCCCCATCTAGACATTATCATTTAATGCAGTTTTCAAACCAGCATTGAAGAAAGTTGACACAAACCACAGGGCACTATTTATTTATCGTGTCAGGAGCAACCAGACCATTGTATTACATTTCTAACAGAACAAAACAAACAAACAGATAAAAAAACACAAAGTTTGCAAGCTTGGTAGTTGATTAAATGTCCTTTGACCAGTATCTGGCCACTTGGAGTGCCTCTGGTGTTGCCGCAAGAGGTCCTCCATTGTGCATGTGGCAGGGCTCAGGTTGCATTGCAGCAGGTGGTCAGTGGTTTGCTCTTCTCCACACTCGCATGTCGTGGATTCCACTTTGTAGCCCCATTTCTTAAGGATTGGCTCTGCATCTCGTGGTGCCAGAGCGCAGTCTGTTCAGCGCCTTCCACGTCGCCCAGTCTTCTGTGTGCCCAGGGGGGAGTCTCTCATTTGGTATCAGCCATTGGTTGAGGTTCTGGGTTTGAGCCTGCCACTTTTGGACTCTCGCTTGCTGAGGTGTTCCAGCGAGTGTCTCTGTAGATCTTAGAAAACTATTTCTAGATTTAAGTCGTTGATGTGCTGGCTGATACCCAAACAAGGGAGGAGCTGGAGATGTCACTGCCTTGGCCCTTTCACTATTGGCTGCTACTTCCCGGTGGATGTCGGGTGGATGTTTTATCAGATAAAATGATAAAACCCTGGGTGAGGTAGGAGTAAAATATATAAATGGGGGGGGGGGGCAAGAAAATGAAACAGTGGGGACTGGCTTTCAGTTTAGAATGGGGGGAAAGTGTGTCATAGGGGAGCATTATAGATGGGGCAATACAATTGGTGTGGATGGTCACTCTTCAAAGGCACATCGAAAAAGCAAGGTTTTCAGATTTTTCTTGAAGTCTACTAAGGAGGGGGCTTCCCTAATCTCAACAGGTAGTGAGTTCCAAAGACGGAGCCACAGCAGAGAAGGCTCTCTCCCTTGTTCCCACTGACCTTGTCTGTGACAGTGGGAGAGGTGAGAGGGGAGCCTCCCTGGAGGAATGGAGAGGTCGTGCAGGTTGGTGGCAGAAGATGTGGTCACAAAGGTAGGCGGGTCCCAAACTGTTTAGGGCTTTATAGGTGATGACCTGAACCTTGAATTGTGACTGGAAGATGAATGGCAGCCAATGGAGCTCCTTGAACAGGGGGTTGACTGCTCCCTGTAATTCGCCCGTTATTAATCTGGCTGCTGCACGTTGGCCCAATTGGAGTTTCTGGGCCATCTTCAAGGGAAGCCCCACATAGAATACATTGCAATAATCCAATCTAGAAAGGAAGGTTGGAGATTGGTTTGTAGTTATTTAGCACAGAAGGGACATGGGAGGTCTTTTTTAGTAATGGTTTTACCACTGCCTGCTTCAAGCAGGATGGGAATTTCCCTTGGCCCAACGGAGCGTTTATGATAGAAACAAACCAATCCAGCAACCCATCTCTAGCCAGGTTAACTAGCCAGATGGACAAGGATTCAGAGCACAAGTGGTCGCCCAAGGACCCCATACACGTCATCAGGAAGAACAGGATGAAAAGAATCCCATAAGGTCAAACAGATAGATTCCTCGGTTTCCTCATTTCGCATTGCATTTAAGCCGGTGTCCAGCTTGAGACGTATCTAAGCGACTTTGCCTGCAAAATGGTGCACAAAATCGTTGCACCGAGGTGCAGAGTCCTCAGGGATTTCCTCCACCTCTGGTGGGTGAAGGAGCTCCCCAATAACCTGGAACAACTCTGAAGGCCTGTTGGTTGCAAACGCTATGTGGGCAGTCGAGAAAACTTTCCCTGCTCCCCAGATTTGAACCACCAACCCTTTGATCAGCAGTCCTGCCAGCACAAGGGTTTAACCCATCACACCACCAGGGGCTCCTATATATAATGATGAAGATGATGATGATTAATTTATGTAACACGATTTTTGGTCCTGGGTTATTATTGTCATTTCCTAATTGGTTCTATCATAAAAACATGGGGAAAGTTTATAAGTTTTTGCAGAACATCCCCCAGGCACATTTTGCTATAGTTCTTCAGTGATTATCTCATAGGGTCTCAACTGTTTCAACCTAGTTTGTGGCAGCAACAAAAATGAAGTTTCTGAAGTTACAACTACTTTCAAAGGAAGTACCTCACAATTAAACAGGAAATAACACTTTCAAACCAGGAACAGAAACATTTTCAAATATTGTTACATAGTGTTATTAGATCTTGGACAACTCACACTTTCTAAGCCTCATAGGAAGGTATTGGCAAAGCTCTTCTGAGCAAATCCACTTTGGTTCACCTTAGGATCGCCATATGTTGAGCTGAAGGGTCACCAATGAGCTGAAAGTGTTCAAAGACAACACTCAAGTGGAAATGCATAATCCATTATTATAGGACCTGAGCCCTTTCAGACTGGTCCTAGCATTAGGCCAAATGATGTGGTCACCCCAGGCCACAAATTTGTCATCGCAAAAGGGCATTGTTGTTGTCAGCAATGGAAAGATTTCTCATTTCATTTGTTGAAAAAGGCCATGACTAGCTAGTACCATGTATGAACTTTATCTTGGGAATGAAGGGCATTTGCTCTTTACCTTGGGCAACACAGTATCTTGGGCTCCATCTACATTGACCACTTAATGCCATTTGATGCAGCATCCAGACAACACTCTCCCACAGAAGCAAATAAATTTTATTTATCGTGTCAGGAGCGAACCAAACAGTTGTATTGTATTTTTTAAAAACAACACAAAGTTTGCAAACTTGGCATTCTATTAAATGTCCTTTGACCAGTAGCTGGCCACTTGGAGTGCCTCTGATGTTGCTATAAGAAGGTCTTCCATTGTGCATGTGGCAGGGCATTGTAGTAGGTCGTCAGTGGTTTGCTCTTCTCCACACTCACATGTCATGGATTTCACTTTGTAGCCCCATTTCTTAAGGTTGGCTCTGCATCTCGTGATGCCAGAGCGCAGACTGTTCAGCACCTTCCAAGTCGCCCAGTCTTCTGTGTGCCCAGGAGGGAGTCTCTCATTTGGTATCAGCCATTGATTGAGGTTCTGGGTTTTAGTCTGCCACTTTTGGACTCTTCACTTGCTGAGGTGTTCCAGTGAGTGTCTCTGTAGATCTTAGAAGACCATTTCTTGATTTAAGGTATTGGTATGCTGGCTGATATTTGAACAGAGGATGGGCCAGAAATGTAACTGCCTTGGTCCTTTCACTATTGGCTGCTACTTCCCGGCGGATGTCAGGTGGTGCAATACCAGCTAAACAGTGTAATTTCTCCAGTGGTGTAGGGCGCAGACAACCCGTAATAATGCGGCATGCAATATTGTCCAGGGGACATCTGGATGTTTTACCATCCTGTGGGAGAGAAGCCTCCCACAGGAAGGTAAAACATTCAGGTGTCCCCTGGACAACGTACTTCCAAATGGCCAATTCTCTTACACCAGAAACAACTTGCAGTTTCTCCAGTCACTCCTGACACACACAAAAATCATTATTATCATCATCTAATGCTCAAACCACTACAACATGCTAGCACCAGTTTAAATCCATGTTTGTCCATTACTAAATCTATTTTACAGCTAAAGGAGATTCTCTTCTTTGCAGGAATGCTATGGAAATAGTGTTTCTCCTTTTAGCAGCAATTTGCTCCTTTTTAGCAGCAATTTGTTGAGCTTCATGAGCTGGCAATAGGTTTGAAAGCCCTTCAGAGAGCAGTCAGGGAATCCAGAGATGGATGAAAAATGTAAACCTGGTGTAGAGAAAGGCACTGGTCTGCAAATCCTATCACTCCCCAATGCGACCTTCTTACCTGACAGTGATGCGATTCAACATATGAAGGACAAAAAGGTTGTCCATACTTGATCTAATATTTGGCAATATGTTTCAGGAATTTATAAACCTTTTATTATAATTTGAAAAGTAAAATTTTAAAGCAGACTGGTATCATATGCAAAATGCTGCAGACCTATGCCGAAAAGAAAGTCAAATGCAAAAATACACCTGAAAATGAAATTTTAAGAAATGACTACATATTTACAGATTTTCTTTTTTACTAGAGAAAAATGCATAGCACATGGCAAGTGTTTTCTTTTTCATGTGGCAAGTAGTAAGTGAACTGAAAAGCATTTCAACTTAAACACATTAGTTTGAAAACAAAGTAAAAACCAAAAATTAACGTGTAGACACATTTGTCAAAATTTAACGTTATATATAATGTGTCATCACAATTGTGTACTTCCATGTATACAGACAGATGTTGGTTCAGTAAATACAAAAAAGAGACAATCTGTCCCAAATGCATTTCAACACCGAGCCTGAATTTCCAAAATAATACCTTTGCTTAATGAGCAACACACATAAAAATAAAGCCTTATTTGAATATAGAGATAATTTGCTAGTAGTTGGAGGAGGAGTTCCTTTGTGACTATGATTAGAAAATTGCCCAAAAGAGTTACTAATTGACTATAACTTTACACCGAAAGCTTTACTCATACTTTTATGGTTGTAACAGTACACATTTTATAAAGCAAAAACAGATAACATATGAAGTGATATTTCATTCAAACATATTTTAACAAAAGAGCAAAAGGTCTTGGATGTTTTCTGGAATCCATGTTGACTTTCTTCTCAATATAGGTTTTCTTCAAATGTTGTCATAATGTCACTCTGCAAGGTCATGTCAATGGTGCCGGTAAGCTGTTTAAAAAAAAAATCACAATAGGAAGGGGGGGGGGGGGGGGAGAGAAGCGGTATTTAAACCTGATTAAATTTATCAGGATTTGATTTGAAATCAAGATGCGCAAGGATCTAGTCCCATGTTTCTCAACCTTCCTAATGCTGTGACCCCTTAATAAATTTTTCATGTTGTGGTGACACCCAACCATGAAATTATATTTGTTGCTACTTCATAACTGTAATTTTGCTACTGTTATTAATTTTAATGTAAATATTTGATACACAGGATGTATTTTCATTCACTGGACCAATTTTGGCACAAATACCCAATATACCCAAATTTGAACACTGGTGGGGTTAGGGGGAGAGGATTGATTTTGTCATTTGGGAGTTTTAGTTGCTGGGATTTTTAGTTAACCTACAATCAAAGCGCATTCTGAACTCCACCACCGATGGAATTGAACAAAACTTGGCGCACAGAACTCCCACGACCAACAGAAAGCACTGGAAGGATTTGGTGGACACTGACCTTGAGTTTTGGAGTTTTAGTTCACCTACATCCAGAGAGCACTGTGGATCTGGACCAAACTTGGCATGAATACTCAATATGCCCAAATGTGAACACTGGTGGAGTTTGAGGAAAGTAGACCTTGATATTTGGGAATTGATGTTGCTGGGATTTATAGTTCACCCATAATCAAAGAGCATTCTGAACCCCACCAATGACAGAATTGGGCCAAACTTCCCACACAGAACACCCCTGCCTTGAAGGGACTCGTTGGCACAAGTTTGCTATGTGTTGAGTACGCCTGCTCTCCCCTCCCCACTTGTAGTTTCAGAAACAGCCCTCCCCTTAGCTGAGAGGCCAGSCAATCAGAGCGCAAGAGGGCTTTTGGTGGGAGGATTCACCATCTGTTTCTGAAAAAGAGAAGGACAGGCAGAGAGATCTTTGGTCTTCACTGCCAGAGGGGTTCCTAAGACCATCAGAAATTTATGTTTTCTGATGGTCTTTGGTGACTCTTCTGAAACCCCCACACAACCCCCCCCCCAGGGGGCCTGACTCCRAGGTTGAGAAACACTGATCTAGTCATTCACTTTCCAACTGTATATGCAAGAGAGAATAGCTAAAACCAAAGGCGAAACTGTAAGTTGCAAAATGTTTAGCTCCATCAGTAATTTCAGATGTCATCGACCCTGTGATCAAGAGGCGGCTTATGGGTCAAATGACAGTGGAATGATAAATAAATTCTATAGCAGGCATCCTCAAACTGTAGCCCTTCAGTAGTTTGGGACGCCAAATCCCAGAATTCCTGACCATTGAACAAGTTGGCTACGTCTTTTGGGAGGTGAAGACCCAAACAGCTGACAGGCTGCAGTTTGAGAATGCTTGTTTATAGTATAAACATTATAGGAGTTAACCAAATTGGTGAACATATTGAAAGCACTTTAAATAGCTCCTTTAAAGTTCAAATTAACCACACATACACAAAAACCAGGACAGAATCACCATTCCACTAACATGGACAACAACAACAGCAGTATAATGTGTATTTTAATAGTTCTACAACTGGCAGTAAATGATTTTGAATGGAACAGAATATGCATAAATGGGGATAGTGAGCAAGAAAAGGAGGAACTTGATATTGGCTATCATTTGAGGGCAATATCTCTGCCTACATGACAGGAGTCCCCTCCTCATTAAAACTAATGCAAGATTTTGCTTTGAAAGTTTGAGCATATAGTAACAAGTGAGACTCTCATACAGCGTTACATAACCAAATAATCTAGATAACTGTATTATGCTTTCTTTATATGTATGTGTGAGTGTTCGCTAATACATACAGAATTAGCATGGAGGGGTTTGTGTGTACATGAGCCAGATTGGGAGTATGGGTTTTAAGATTTAGCTCTCAATTACACTAATGGGAGTTTTCCTTCTATTCTCAAATAGCAGACATGGGGAATACCTGTTTCAAGTAGGACCATTGTTAGAGCAATGCTCCATCCATATTATGGTCTCATTTTGATGAAACCCTGCCAATACCATTTTATTATTTCAAAAGTACTCAAGACAAACAACACATCCATGTTTAGTCCCAAGTTTCTGACCTCTGTTTCTAAATAGGCTCTTCAAATAACATGAGCCAATCAGGTTCCATTTCCTTCATTAAAAATCTATTGGAGGAGATGCTGACTTTTGCATTGTTTTAGGATACCGCATTGTTTGAGCTGATTTATCTGCCATTTACTTACTGCTTCTCTCCTCCTGCGTTCTTGTTCCATTTTTCTTGCTAAGTTACGGTCCACAATAAAACTCTGTGGTAAACACAGTTTCTCTTTGATACATGTTTCTCCTTTTGCAGGTGAAGAATGTTCCTTTACTGCAGTGGGTTTTGGGTTTGTCTGTCCATTGCTTCTAAAATGTATATATATATATAAATGTCTATAAGTAGAGATCGCTTTTGAAGACATAAGTGTAAAAAAAAACAAACCCCAATCAGTAACTTACAATCAGCAGTGATTTAGTACAGTGATTCCCACACTATGTGTCATAGTAAAAGATGGAGTGTGCCTTGAAAAAATATACCATATGGAATACATCCACCAGTCTATGCCTGATGGCGCAGCAAAGGTGCCATGACTCATTCATTTCCTCATCCATTTTTCTCTTCTCAAGATATGGGCAGCAATAACCCAAGGGAGGGAGTAAAGGATACATTCAAAAGAAATGCAGAAATTGCAGTATTGTTACCACTACGATTTCCCCCAAGCTCTAAGAGCAGGACATTGGGAAGCAATGTACTGCCAATCTGCTTCTTGTCTGAATTCAAGGTGCTGGTAGTAACATTTGAAGTTCTAAACAGTTTGGGAACTCAGTACTTGAAGCAGTGCCTCCCCATATATATATGTCTACCTGAGATTTTCTGGATAGATCAGTGGTTCTCAAGCTGTTTTGGCTGGTAAACAGGCTGGGATTTCTGGGACTTGTAGGTCAAAACATCTGGGGATCCACAAGTTGAGAACCACTGGGATAGATCCTCTTGTGTCCGATCAGGGCAATGTGCTGTGGGGAAATGGTGGACAAAGCCCTTCCTGCTTTGATTCTCCAGTTATGGGATGCCCTCACTTTGAAGGCCCTAGTGATACCAACAACGCTTTCACCCCAGTGCCAAGTGAAAATGTCACTGTTCATTATAGCCTCTGGGATCTCATTAGCTGAGGTCTTTGGGGTAGAATGCTGTATAAATATTTTAATTAATTAATAAAGGCAGCCTCAATGGGTTAGGGGAGATGAAGAATAAACAATTTAATATAAATGAAATAATTCTCTGCCTTCTGCTCTGGGAAATTAATGATTGCTACTGTTAGAAACTGTATAGAGATGAAAAATCTTTACACACATGTTCCCTGACCATATACATTGTGAACACTCCTATAGTCTTTTCCAGATTCTCAATATGAGAACTGGCTAAGGAATACTGGAGTTGGGTAAAAGAGAAGTAACATGGGGTTTGATCTAACTTTGGTGTTGCCACAGGGTCAGAACCCCATGATTGCTCCTTCTTCAAAATAAAAAGAAATAGTGGTTATTGCAACATAGAACCAATGCGGTGTTGCAGTTTGAATGTGGAGTTAGGAGTCTGGGAGATCCAACTTAGAACTTATTAGGCAAATCGCACTTTCTCAGCTTTAGGAAGGCAACAGTAAACAAATCTTGCTAGGAATACCCAAGGCTAGGGGACCTACTAACTGAAGCTCACTTAAAGGTGCAAAGATACTGTTACTGTATTTGAGAAACAAATACAGGAACAGTTGTTCGGATCTAAATTTCCCCTGGCCCCAAATGCTCACAAGCATCATACATCTAATATATTTTAAAGCAGCATCTATATATCACCACAAGGGTTTCTGGCACAATGGACAATTTAAATAATCTAAAGCTAGAACATTTTAAACACATTACAATACTTTTTAAAAATAATAGAAGGAGTTGCAAAACAATCCTAGAATACAATTCTGAAAGCGAAAACAGCAATGCTACAACTAAAAAGTAGTTCCAGGATACCATTAGAGCCCTTGCATGATATCTTTGACCATGTATTAATTTTGAAAGGCTTCTATGTTTGAATCATACATGTATCTGTAAATAACGAACAAATCATGTCTTGAATGTTAAGTTTCAGGCCCTGTGATTGTGCCTCCAACCAATGGCAAATACAAGTCCAATTGTTTTTGCTTAGTGATTTTACATAGTTATACATGTGAGCAGTTGGAAAACATACCGTTATTATTTCCTTTACATTTTATTATATTATCAAAGTGGTAGCAACATTGTTACCCCAAATCTGAAGTGACTGCTATGTAAGTGTTACATTGCTCTAAAACAAACATGAGCATATACCAAATATGTACAAACCATTCAGTTGATATTTTAGCAGCATGCTAAATTGCTGTTGGCATCATTTCCCCTGAAGTAGGAATCAGCCACAAAACAACTCCGTTGGAAATCTTTCAATATGCAGGTAGTTAAAAGGACATGTGGTATACAGCTTCTCAATTTAATTATATGAAATTACAAACCTCTCTTTTTCCTGTGGGAGATTTTTCAGTTTCCTCTCAGCTTGCTCCAATTGTCTTCTTCTCTCCTTTGCCCACTCACTTTCTTCTTTTTCTAGTGCTGCTTTTTGGAACTGCCTGAAACTTTCGCTGGAGGATTTGATTGGGGCTGGAGCAGGTATTATTTTACCTAAATTTGTCCAAGACTCTGCATGCTTGACTTTTATGTCCTGAAATTTTAAAACAGAAGCATTTCTCATCTGTAATCACAACCAGGTAATGCAACTTTCTACCTCCAACAGCAATGCAAAAGTGAAATGATGATTCTTTATTTAAAATATATTAATTATGGTATCTATATGGACTCATCAAAGTTTGGTTTAGAAGTGAGCTACATTACATGCACATTCTAGTTGATCTAGATGAAACAAATTGGGTAGTCATGGTTTAATTTCTAGGGAAAACACAAATACATCTAATTCGAGGCAACCTCAGTTATCTGAAGGTCATCTGTTATGTGCACTGAAGTTGTGATGGCTTGTACTCATTGTAACCTCTACTTTCATAATTTGATAATATCCCTTTCCATATTTTTATTTTTTAAATGGTATACAGCTAGGTAGGGGGAGAATCAGACCTATTAATGTCTCTCTCGTGTGTATGCACATTGATATAATGTGATCTCATTCCCATGCTTTGACTGGAAGCAAAATTGAACTGAAGGCTACACAGAGTCAGAAAACATGTGTGCATGGCTGTCTTACTACTTCATTTGAGGGCCATTTTTTAAAAACCAGGGAATGATTTTTTTTACTAGGCAGGTTCCCACTGTCCCCTCTTCACAGCCTTGTCTAAAACAAGCATAAAACACATAAGAATGGGCCATGGGCATATCTTTAAAATATTTCTAAACCAACCGTTATGCCAGTTGGAAATCCTAGATACATGTATAGGAGCATTTAGAGACAGGCCTACTTGCATACTCTCCAGTAGTACCAATTGGACAGGGTTAGTGCCAATTTATTCTCATTCAACCCATCTTTTTATGCCGTGTTTAAAATGTTCCATTTTCTCTCTCCTCCTTCTAATCCCCACCTGCTGGAAAGGGGCTTCTAATTAACGTCAAATGGGAAACACTTCTGAGGAAATATTATAGAGAGAGGGATCTTGACTCTGCTAAATAGTATATGCACAGCATTAAGTACCATTTGGAGCCAATATTTTGTTTCCATTGCCTGCTAACTGTGATAAGGCAATAGCTAGCAGTGTTACCAGGATGAAAATTGGATAATGGTCCTGTACTTTGGTTGTGTGGAAGAGAGAATTTCAGCAGCTGTTGTTTGTTATGCAACTGGAAAACGAGCAACATTTTTGAAACTCCTTTTTCTAGACAACCATGAAAAGTACAAAGGATCTCTCCAGTTTTCACTTTGGCAATCGTAAGTTGTTTCAGGAAGCTCAAAGACTCAAGTATAAAATTAGTTAGTGTCATATAGAACCTGATTGGGAAAAGAAACATGTGAAAATTTTGTAGGATCGCTATAACATGATAAGACTGTTTTACTGTTTTAACTATGGCTTATGTATTGTTAATTATGCTTTTATGTCTAATTGTGGTTTTAATTTTGTAATTTGTTATGTAATGGCTTCGGAATGGGGCCCATTGTTAGTCATCCTGAGTCCTCCTTCAGGGGTTGAAAAGGACGGGATAGAAATGCGAGAAATAAATAAATAAATAAATAAGAAATAAGAAAATAAGTTTTTATAGTTTTCCGATTTCAGTGGTTGTTGTGAAATCTGTCACTCATAAGATTCTTGAATATCAGACCATCTGCTAAATTTGCGTATCACAGCGAATATCCAGTCAGTGTTTTTGTGATGGAGGGGGATTTTGTTCATCCTAAGAGATATTTATTGGATTCCCTTTGGACATTAATACAAATCAAGTTAATTGCTTTTGTGATTTTGAGAATGTAAAAGTAGGTCATATGACTGGATTAATCATGACCAGGTTGCCTACATGCCCAACAGTTAAGTCACTTTAAAAACTTCATTCATACTCCCACTCCACAATGAATTTATTTTAAAAAATTTTCAAAGATGAAATATCCAAAGTCAAAACTTCATGTAGTTGGTGTTGTATTAATACAAAGACAAGGCCCTCCTCCCAAATATCTGCAAAGAATCTCAATGACCATCCCACCCTGCCTTATAGCTGGATATTCTATGCATGAGGTTACTGAATAACATCTTTTTTCATTGTTATATTGATCCTATCTGTGAAGTTTCACAACATTTCACAAATAAAATACTGGTTCTTTCACGATTCTTGAAGACTGATTTTCAGTATAACTCAGCAATATAACTATCAAGTTAGACTGCAGATTACGATCTCTGAAAATTTCAGTTTTTCTGATCCAATTCTCCCAATAATTTCTAACAAAAGGATAAACCCATCATAAATAAGGAAAAGTTCTATCCTGGTTCCTGCATTTCCAATACTCAGGATGCAGGAACAAATGTGATGTAATGTTATGTAATATCTCAATTAATTTATGTAGAAATTTATACACATTTCCCCTTGATTTTTCACTTGGTATTTCCCAGCATGGCACCAAGCATATGCATATACTCACTATTCATCTGACATGTTTACACTACATTCCTGCTTTCATTTCTGTTTTTGCCTATTCTTTTTTTTGTTTTATTCATTTTTTCTGCAACGATTCAACTGTTTATTTTATACAACCCGAACAACAGTCTTCTCTATCTACTTGACAGTATCATCTTTTCAAAACAAGGGGGATTTCTAAGAATTTCTGTCTGACCGATATTTGATAAAAAAAAAGTTCTGACTTGTATTGGTAGCATGGGAACTGAGAAATAATATTTCCATTTTGATCATGGTATGAGAGACTTGAAAACACATGTTTTAATTCTTTCCCAGCCATAAAATAGCTAACCTAGGGCAGTCTAATACAGTTTTGTTCAAGTGAACCAATATGCAAACAATGTCAGAAGGAAATATTCTATGATTATTTAGTTCTACATTTAAATGTAGTAAGAATCTGGTTCCTTTTCTTCCCAGTAACATTTGTGGTTATATTTTTCAATTTTCCCATATATCTTCATATGTAGTAACATTTTCCCATACATTAAAAAAATTAATGGATTTTGGAATATTATAAAAAGTATCATCTGAATATAACTTCAATTTCATGTTGGGCAGTTATAAAGCCAATCAACTTTCTGTCCTGCTTCAGATCTTGTTTTGATTTTTAGACTTCAAAGCAAGTACCAATGAGTACTAAGGGCACCCTGGTGGTGCAACGGGTTAAACTGCTGAGCTGCTGAACTTGCTGACTGAAAGGTTGGCAGTTTGAATCCAGGGAGCAGGGTGAGCTCCTGCTGTTAGGCCCAGCTTCTGCCAACTTAGCAGTTCAAAAACATGCAAATGTGAGTAGATCAATAGGTACCACCTTGGTGGAAAGGTAACAGAGCTCCATGCAGTCATGCTGGCCACATGAACTTAATAATAATAATAATAATAATAATAATAATAATAATAATAATAAACCTTTATTTGTACCCCATTACCATCTCGGTGCGGCTTACAAGAGGCCGAGCCCAAATACAATAGTAAAAACAATAACAAAAATAACAGCAAAATAACTCAAAAACAAAGCAATGACATTAACAACATACAACGACGCAGTTAAAAACAATGGCYGGGCCAAATGTAATAATTAAAATTAAAAAGTGCTGGGCGTGACCAGGTGGAGTGTTTGGAGGGGGATGGGCATATCCTAGATCTCTGATAAAGTGCGTTGGGACATAATGCTAGGAGTTTCCTTATTCTGGGAAGGCACACTGGAACAACCACATTTTCAAGCTCCTCCTAAAGATTGCTAGCGACGGGGCCTGTCTGATGTCCTTAGGGAGAGAGATGTTTACGAATAATGCCAGCTCTTTGGCTTAGAAATGGAGATGAACACCACCGCCCAGAGTCGGCCATGACTAGACTTCATGTCAGGGGAAACCTTTACCTTTTATGAATGAGTACTTTTGTCTTATTTTCCACAGTAATATGAAGATACTACTTCATTTACAAGGGTCCTAGTTGTGTGAAAATCAAAAAACATAGGCCAAAACTCAAGCACAGAACATGCAATTCTGTTTTGGGAGTATGATTGTTGATTTTATGACTGGCTTAATTAAGCACATGCCCCAACATTGTCACTTTTGCACTGCTGTTTTGTATTAAAAGCACACATTCGTCACATTGTTAGTCACTCTTTACCAATTCAAATCATGTTGATCAAGACAATTATCTATCTCTAGACATGTAGCCTTAGTTTAAAACATAATAATTAAGACTGTTTTAAAAACTCCCACACTTGCAAGTAAATTAGCTCACAAAACGCCCTTAGCTTTTAGATATCAGTGTTTTAGAAAAGACCATCCTAGAAGGCAGCGCCTTATTACCTTTGCTATAGGAATTTGAGGTTTAGCATCTCTTTTTTTCTCTCCCTCACATTTATCAGAGCAGCTCGCTGAAACAGTGGCATGTGTAGAATCAGTCATACGTTGCCCACACAGACCATCTGGAAAACTATTCTTTGGTTCTGGAATGTAAACAAGGCAGGCATTTTTCAAAGGTGGGGGCATTTAACATCTCTGTAAGATCTCTTATCAGATTTCTGCACCAAAACCTTCCCAGTTTAGGCACCTTTTATCAGTCCTAAATCACAGAGAATGTTTCCACTCTTAGGGATGTTGTATTTGTCCTTTGTTTACTTGGCACAATTTCCAAGGAAGCAGCAGGGCAAGAACTCCCCGTGTGCCTACAGTATTCTATTTTCAGAAGCTTGCTTGAGTGTAGGAGATACACATTTCTGTTACTCATTTCCTGCTCCCTACCCCCACCTGAACAGGGACCATTTTGTCTCCTGTGATGCTCTTTCCCAGGCTCCCCAGGGAAGAAGAGCCTGTTACTAGGTAACCTTGTATTTAGGGTACAGTTCTCCATGCTGCCTGCTTCTATCTTCAACCCCCAACATTATAGTATAGACTTCCAGTTCATTTCTACTGAGTCGCACATACCCCACAGTTAGAAGTTATACACTGAAAGTAACAATATCCAATTTAAAATTATAACAATAATTAAAACAATATCCAATTTAAATAAGTTTAGGCTAATGTTATAAGTCACAACTCATGGCTCAATTCAAAATCTTTCTGAACTGCTGAGAGGAAATCCTCACAAACATAATGTGTGGTCCTGTTATTCTAAGACTATTATATCAATTCCTGAACAGACAGGTTTTCAGCAATTGATTTTGATAATTAAAACTAGTTCATCAGTTTACAGAGTTCCTACAACACAGGAAATGAAACATTATGAAACCCTCTTCAGATCATTACTACTCTTTGAAAATCTTGCCAATGGGGGTCTCGGAAGCTAAATATTTACGCAAAAGCCTGAACATTATTGTCATGTTAGATATCAAAACTGAGTTACCAATCACAATCTTTCAATGAATTTTTGAGTGATTAGATAAAGCGGTTATATGCTGATATTCTGAAAAGTTAAATAATATATTTTATTGAAACCTAAGCTATGCAGTGAATCAAATACAAAAAAATTAAGTCCCTATCAAGAAAAGTTAGCTAGATGAAGGATGAATTCTCTGCTTTTATGGAAAGCAATTGAGAAACAGCACTGCAGTGCGGCACCTTCAAAGACAGGTACAATTTGTCAGAACAAAAAAATCATATTCCTTTGAAAACTGAACTCTAAGGACAAAGGTAACAGTCATACCCACTTTGTACTTGCTCTTATGGTATATTTCTACATACTTGGTTTCTTTGCATAATCCACCTTTAACTAAATTGACATAAAATTTCCATTCATTTAAGGCAGGTCTGCAAAAAGTTCATTTCATCTATTAAATCAGGGTGGACCTATGTTCTGAGAGTGTGGGATAAATTTTGTCCTGATCAGCCAGCCACATCCCTTCATATTCAGCCCACCATTAGCTGCCAATTCCAATTGAAAGTCATTTCTGATCGTAATTATCTTGCCTTGTCTGAAGATAATAATAATCAACCACTCCTTGAATCTTCTAGGAGTGGCAAGTGAACTATTGGACTGAGTAGTCACTCCTTGGAGATTTCTAAGGGTAGTAATTGAACTATTTGAGATGCAAATGCATTAAAATGGGAAGGGGGGTCTGAATGTTTTTAAGGAGAGAGCCAAAAGGTTCTCACATATATATTTAAACCTCACATATATATTTAAACAGTATTTTCGTCAAATAAGGCAAAATGTTCCATAAAATGTTCTCACTCTACAGACTACGTGGACCAGCATTTCAATAAATCAGCAAAACCAGCACACTTTTGTATCCCTTTATTTAGACCTGAATAGTAATAAATGTTAGCATGTACTTCAGTTATGTTAGTATTTGTATTACGAGAATACCTACTTTTCTGTTGATTAATAGGATATGAGTCAGTAGATGCTATGGAGGCTGTAGTGCAGGCAGGAGATGGTTGTGTTTGATGAAATGACTTTTTCACAATTTCTTTGGTATCACCCAGTGGGATATTTGGGGAGGAAGAACAAGAAACCTACAGGAAAATTATAGAACAATTAATCCAAGATTTGCCACCACTGTCAAACTTCACAATCTCATGGTAATTTTGGCTGCTTTAAAAAGAGAGAGCACCAGTTAGTATTTTTTTTCTATTCCTCTGTGTTTTCCATCAGATATGTTTCTATCACTTGGTTGTTGTACGTTTTTCGGGCTATATGGCCATGTTCTAGAGGCATTCTCTCCTGACGTTTTGCCTGCATCTATGGCAAGCATCCTCAGAACCTCTGAGGATGCTTGCCATAGATGCAGGCGAAACGTCAGGAGAGAATGCCTCTAGAACATGGCCATATAGCCCGAAAAACCTACAACAATCCAGTGATTCTGGCCATGAAAGCCTTCGACAATAAATGTTTCTATCACTTTTCTTAAGGAAAAATGTTAAAGCCAAGATGATCCCAAGCCCACATGTTATGAGGCTTCTGTATAATTCTCAAAAATTGTCTGGCAAGAGACATTATTTGATCAAGAAAATAAACCAAGTAAAAAACCAATGTCTTAAAAAAACTTAATGCCAGATTTAATTGTAAAAGTTAATGGCAGAAAAAGAAGAGACCCATCAGGACAATATCCAAAGCTTATGTTGCAAGCTTTGGATCCAGTACCAGTCATATAAAGAGAAGAACGTGTGTGCTCTCCAGTGGTCTCCCATGACTGCCACTAGAAGCTCTGAGTTTTTAAAATAAAAACCGTTTTTTTCATTTAGCCACACTGTTTCTAAATTTTATCAATAATGTTCACCTGTGGAAGTAAGTGACCAGGTGAGATAATAGGTTGATGAGTGTCCAGTAAGTCATTTGGAGATGCTTCTTGAACAGGAGTGCAGGGCAGAGGAGACACAACAGCCACTATACCTGTTAGGAGGTAGGACAAAATAGAAGAATGCCACAGGCTCTGCATAAAACATCCAATGAATTTGGTTGTACACAATGTGGCCTAACACACAAACAATATGAACTGGTGATATGGAAGGGTTCAGTCAGTAGGAAGAAGTAGAGCTATACATCCCTTGTAATAATTTCAGTAGAAATCTCCTTTGAGATAGCATCCTACTTTAAACATGCACATTGTAGGTTTATCTACATGGTCCACTGTGCAATTTTCATAAACATTTATTGCTAGTGGCATCTGCATCATTGCTTCGCATCACCCTGAACTAAACATCTGGTTTTTATTACATTTGTTTTTGTTGTGTGCCTTCAAGTCATTTTTTACTTATAGCAAACATATAATGGGATTTGATTCAGAGGAGATTTGCCATTATCTTCCTCAGTGAGTTTCTGTGGCCAAGCGAAGATCTGAACTCAGGTATCCAGAGTCATAGTCCAGTGAGGAAACCACTACATCACTCTGGCTTTCTTGTTCATCATGTGCAACTATATAAATGCTCAGTTAGAATCCTGATTCAATGTATATAGCCTGTATTGAAACTTTATAGTTTTAATGCAGTGCTATCTCTGTCTGCGGTTAAACAAATGAGATGTCGTGTTCTGTATGTCTGAGCATAGGGCATAATACTGGATTCTGCAAGTGCTCTATCTTTTACCTGAAACATACTGACCTACTGGCAACACTATTGTGCTGCTCTATATTTGCTCTCTGATTACTGTGAGCAGGTCTGTCACTATGGCTTTGATTAAAAGTGACCAGACAGAAGTCAGGAGTCAGACATGCCCACACATCCTTTCAAAAACATTCCTCTACAGCTGTAGATTTTTCTGAATGGGGACAGTTCATCTGTCAAATAAGGTCTAAGATGTTTAATTGACTGCAAATAAGAAATGGTAACTTGAAATTTGAAAATACACATGCATAACTCAGCTAGATAAATATGAAGGACCTTTCCTCTGTGCAAATGTGATATGCAGTAGCAAGCCAGTATCATTTTGCTTGCTTTTATTTCAATTAGAATATTCACAAAGACATTTACTTTTAAAGTGGATATCTCTGTTAAGTTTTCAAGACCTGCCACTTTGTTCTTGATAATTAGATTTTAGAAATATGAAAATATTGAAATATGGAAGTTTGTAGATTTGAAGAAATACTGAAAATGTGCCAGAAGTCTCCAGAACCCCCAGTCCAAAAGTAAACTAAATCCAGTGTGCCTCCATAGAATTCCACATTGATTATATGCTTTTAATGGTTTTTATATGGATATTTTATTATGTCATGTTAAATGTTCTAATGATATTTTTGACTGTTGTGGCATCAAATTGCTGCCAAATTGTAAGCCGCCATTGAGTTGCTTTTGTGCTGAGAAAGGCAGGATAGAAATACTGTAAATAAATAAATAAATAAATAAATAAATAAAAAACCAAAATTTGAGTCTTGTAGAGGGAAAGTGGGATATACAGTAAATAAACATAATAAACATAAACAAAGTTTAACAGTTTATTCTTGATAACATTAATATTTAATATTTAATCATAATAGTAGCAAGCCCAGGTTCAAGCTATGTTTGTTCCAACATGGCAGCATTTCTAAAAACAATAATGACTGCTCCACTTGAAAACATCCTACTGAATCAGTTTTCTGTGGAAGATTTACCTGCGGGTGAAAGGGTGTGTTGCTCTCGAAGTTTTAGAGGGCTACGCTGCAGCATCTGGGAGTGCTGCAATATCTGCTGGTGGAATCTTGCTCCTGTTGGTCTTGGAGACTGTTTGCTAGTATATGAAACGCTTTGAACTTGGGAAACAATATTGCTGGAGGTCCTTGAATGGAGCAGTGGCAGCTGATGGGAAGAATTCAACAAGGATAGTCCTTATTCCTTTAAACCATCTATTCCAAAAAGTTTCCAGACACCCCCCCCCCTCGCATCATTAAAATCAAACCCTTACTTTCTCCTTGAAAGTCAGGCATCTACAGAATGGAGAGAAAGAGAATGCTCATTCTCTGTAGAAGAAGGAAAGCTTTAGGAAAGAACAAATATATCTATAATAATAATAATAATAATAATAATAATAATGATGATGATGATGATGATGATGATGATGATGATAATCTTTATTTATAACCCGCTACCATCTCCCCAAAAGGGACTCGGTGTGGCTAACATGAGGCCAAGCCCAAAATAATACAATATAATAAAGGAGCAAACCAATGCATCTTCAGGTACTGCTATGTCATTTACATGTATACAGATACCAGCATATTGAAGAAACATGGAGGACTAAGTGGAAAGTAACAGTGAAAGCTCTAAGCATTTTATATAGGAGAAAATAAGAGAAATGCACCTTAAGTTGTTCTCTGCAAAACAGACCTCTTTTCCCATTTCCATTTTGGTTTAAACATGTTTCTGTGAAAAGGTAGAGAAATCCATATATTAATAACATGGCATTCAAGGTGGTGTTAGAATTTTCACTCTGTATAGCACACAGTATTTCTTTTTATTCCTTGTTGCTCTTTCAGGACTTTTCTGTCCAAGGTCTTTCCGATCTTTGAATGCCTCAAGTGATAACATATTCAGTGGCAAATATGATTTAGGCAGACAATTCTCTTCTCCTCCCTTAAGTTTATGGCCCATTCTTCAAGCACCTGTCTTGGCTTGGCTGTGTGGACTGTTGTGGAATCTTACGAAACCCACATTAGAGAAAAGCCCCTGGGAATTGCGACATATCACTCAAAAACTGTGTGTTTGTGTGCAAGCAGCTAGGGGCTGTTTCCTGGGTGAATAAAACCAAGTGGCGAAATGGATATAAAGTTATTTAGAAGTCTCTGATTGCATTTATATTACAGAGTTATAGCACCTTGATACCATTTATACTGCTATGGATCTATTTCACAGAATCCTAGGAGTTGGAATTTGTTGATGCATTTAAAATTCTGTACAATTGTCCTGTGGTGCATTTTATAGAAGTATAGAACTTGATTTCTTTAGCAGGGAATTCTAAATATCTTACCAAAATACAAATCTTGGGATTTTGCAGAAGTAGTATTGTTATTATTGGGTTTTTTGTGTGATGGTAGTAACATTATTTATACTCCACCTTTTCACCAAAACAACACAGTTTGAAAATTAAAATATAGTAGTTAAAACAGTATCGGGCTACTATAATTGTGTAACATAAACACATTCCTTTATCCTGTATTGTCGAAGGCTTTCATGGCCAGAATCACTGGGTTGTTGTAGGTTTTTCGGGCTGTATGGCCATGTTCTAGACCTATTCTCTCCTGACGTTTCACCTGCATCTATGGCAGGTATCCTCAGAGGTTGTGAGACTTCACAACCTCTGAGAATGCCTGGCATAGATGCAGGCAAAATGTCAGGAGAGAATTTATTTATTTATTTATTTATTTACTGTACTTGTATACCGCTGTTTCTCAGCCTAGCTGGCGACTCAACGCGGTTTACAACAAAATACCAAATACAATAGTCAACAGTATACAATTTAAAACCATAAAAACATAATACACAATATTGGTACATCAATAACAATCCAATGCATCTCCTGACTAAAATCGTGATCCAGTTTCGTCGTCCATATTACCAATCCTTTAATCATCACATTCATTGCACCGAATTAACCAAATGCCTGTCCGAACATCCAGGTTTTTAATCTTCTTCGGAACACCATCAGCGAGGGGGCTGATCTTACCTCCATGGGAAGGGCGTTCCATAGCCGAGGGGCCACCACAGAAAAGGCCCTGTCTCTCGTCCCCACCAGCTGCACCTGTGAAGCAGGCGGGATAGAGAGCAGGGCCTCCCCAGAAGATCTTAGGGTCCTGGTGGGCTGATAGGCCGAGATACGTTCGGATAGGTAGGTTGGGCCAGAACCGTTTAGGGCTTTAAAGGCCAACGCCAGCACTTTGAATTGAGCCCGGTAGCAAATCGGCAGCCAGTGGAGCTGGTGCAGCAGAGGAGTTGTATGCTCCCTGCGCTCCGCTCCTGTTAGTATCATGGCTGCCGAACGTTGGACTAATTGGAGCTTCCGAGCCGTCTTCAAAGGCAACCCCACGTAGAGAGCGTTGCAGTAGTCTAAACGGGATGTAACCAGAGCGTGGACTACCGTGGCCAAGTCAGACTTCCCAAGGTACGGGTGCAGCTGGCACACAAGCTTTAACTGTGCAAATGCTCCCCTGGTCACCGCCAAAACCTGGGGTTCCAGGCTCAGCGATGAGTCCAGGGTCACACCCAAGCTGCGAACCTGCGTCTTCAGGGGGAGTGCGACCCCGTCCAACACAGGCTGTAACTCTACCCTGTTCGGCCTTGCGACTAACCAGGAGTACCTCTGTCTTGTCTGGATTCAATTTCAATTTGTTTGCCCTCATCCAGACCATCACAGCGGCCAAGCACCGGTTCAGGACCTGAACAGCCTCCTTAGTAGCAGGTGGAAAGAGTGACAGAGTTGAACATCATCTGCGTACAGATGACATCGCACTCCGAAACTCCGGATGATCTCGCCCAGCGGCTTCATGTAGATGTTAAACAACATGGGAGACAGTATTGAACCCTGAGGAACCCCACAAGACAAAGGTTGTGGGGTTGAACAGGAGTCTCCCAGTAACACCTTCTGAGACCGACCCTCAAGGAATGAGCGGAGCCACTGCAAAACAGTACCTCCAAGACCCATCCCCGCGAGGCGTCCCAGAAGGATACCGTGGTCGACGGTATCGAAGGCCGCTGAGAGGTCCAGCAGCACCAACAGGGACACACTCCCCCTGTCGAGCTCCCGGCGCAGATCATCCACTAAGGCGACCAAGGCTGTCTCAGTACCATGCCTAGAATGCTTCTAGAACATGGCTGTATAGCCCGAAAAACCTACAATGACCCATTCCTTTACCCTCATCAGACGGGGTAAGAATTGGTAGCATGCTTCACTTCACCGCTTCTTTAAGCACAGAACCCGCTGGCTCCTATTACACAACATACTAGTACTTCATGATTAAAGGGATGGCAAAGTGGAGCATGCCACTACAGCAGCAACACAGGAGGTTTTCCATATTGCCTTGGAACAATGGTCAAGGCCCCCCTCCTGTGGGATTGCCCTGCGGGTAAGCTGGTCGATGCAGGGCATGGAGCGACAAGTTCCTCACACACCCCGGCAGTGGTCGCCAGATTCACCATGATGTGTGGTGATTCTGGTGGCCAGTATGAAGAGGTCCTTAATCACAAGTTCCCAGGAGAAAGAATGAGAGAGAAGATGGCATAGAAGAAATCCCACTTCAGAGTCTAAAGAAAGTTTGCTTGGTTCCTTCTTTCAAGAGGTTCATTACTAAATGGCGAGGAACAAGGGTGAGAAGGCAAGTGAACCTGATTCAGAATCACTGCTATCTGAAGAGCTGGAATTTCCACTGGTGCTTTCTGAGTCAGAGGAGGTACTACTGCTACAACTGCTGCTACTGCTGCTTTCACTCAGTCGGCTTGGTCCTCCAATGCTCATTGGTGCAGCGTTATTTTCAGCTGCAAAATTGGAGAGAATACAACAAAATACTGTCAGGAAAGAGACAGCACATGATAGTGAAGGTCTACCATTAACAGGGAGACCTGTTCTAATCAAGGTTACTGGAGACTGATTCTTTTGCTCCTTTGGCCTTTTTACAGGAAACTATATTATGGAATAAGTCAAAAGTTACAATGGCCACATCTTCCCCCACCCTCTTCAAGATTTCAATATGGTTAATTCCAAATCTGTAGTCAGTGTTGGGTACACCTACATGTACTCAGTTTCGTAGAGCTAAGTTGTCCACTGACGTCCACCAGCCTCCTTTCTAATTCTTGCTTCTTCTCAAAATTAAATTCCTCCTTTGATTTTTTGGCTGCATAGCAAAGAGGGACAGAAAATAAAATATGATGATTGCTTCAGTCAAGTACTCCTCCTGAAAAACAAACAAACAGATTTCTCTCTGCTTTCCAACCAACCCAATGTTTTCCTGAACATTATATACACACCATAATGTTTCTTGGGCTTTTTTCTCAAAGAAGCCATTACGTATTTCTCCAGTGCCCTTAATGTTGATGCTTTGAGAGTTTCAAAGTCTATTTCTATTTCACCCGGATTTGAGTGTCCCAGTGAAGGTTCCCTTGACTGAATAATATGGACCACTCTGCCAAGCCTCTCTCCCGGGAGTTTATTTATGTCCAAGCTTAACTGCCTCTTTTCATCGTAACTCATAGGCTTGGCACTTTCGTCATCTTCAGACTTGTACGTTGGCTCCTCTTGCTGCTTGATTTTCTTTGAACAACTGCAAGAAGGGAAAATAAAAATGAGTTAACTATACTGCCAACAGTTTTGAGTCCCATTTCCTACCCATAAACAATCTTACATGTTCAAAGACATTTTCTTCTTCAGTCTCTTCATTTGCTTCATCTTTCTCTTCTTTTGACGCTCATACTTGTTTTTGACTTTGTTTTTTCTTTTATCCTTCTGAGATTTTCCTTTCTTTCTCCTTTTCATTCTGGGCAATGCAGTTTTAGCCAAAGCTTGCAACTGTTGATGAATAGCCTTAAGCTGTTGTAAGGGAAAGAGAGAAATGTTTTTGCGCATCTTTAAACAAGCTCTAGGAATTCTGCTACCAAAAAGGGAAGGAAAATACTCAAAACTCTAGAATCCCTATGTGTGAAAGAGAAGGGAATATTTTGACCTTTCCCCCATAGGCCAACATTTTTTTTTTTGTCGTGTCAGGAGCAACCGCTCCTGTTGTGAGAGAATTGGCCGTCTGCAAGGACGTTGCCCAGGGGACGCCCGGATGATTTCTGATGTTTTATCATCCTTGTGGCAGGCTTCTCTCATGTCCCCGCATGAGGAGCTGGAGCCGATAGAGGGAGCTCATCTGCCTCTCCCGGGATTCGAACCTGCGACCCGTCGGTCTTCAGTCCTGCCAGCACAAGGCTTTAACCCACTGCACCACCGGGGGCTCCAACATATAGGCCAACATAACTACCCCTGAATATGTTTTCCAGATTTGAGATGGCAATTTAGCCACAACAGGGGACTCCTAAGAAAGGGGGAACCAATGGATTGAGACTGAAGTCTTTGAGTGTCTACCTCCAAGAAAGGTAACATTTTTTTTTCACTGGGACTGCATTTGGTGGGTTTTACCTCTACAGCACCTATACGATTTTTCCAGCTGCAACAGTACAGAGGCTTTTCAAGAAATTCAGTGTTCTCCGGCTAAGAAAGGGATGGATAGCTTTATCCAGGACACATATTGACTGCATCTCAAGGAAAGTTGCCAATGGAGTTGAAAAATGACTGCCTGGATTTTATTACTCTTGCCTTCCAGTTCCCATATGGCCAAAGTGGGGAGATGAAAAGAACAATCAGGAATAAAATGAGGAAGGAGGCCAACCATGGTAGATTGCTCCTCATGCCATCCCGAGAATCTAGGCTGTGACTCTGACATCACAATTTTCCCTTCTCTGGTACAATTTAAAAACCTTTGCTTGATGAAGAAGCCAATGGAGCTTTGAAAACTTACATGATTATTTTGTGCATTTGGTTGCCCAAATAAAGCTATTACTGTTTTCAGGATTTTGGATACTGTTCCTTTATCTACAGGCTGTTATCCATATATTACGGGGAAAGGGGAACTTGATCATGCAGAACATGGTGTAATAGGAAACATACATCAAATAGAAGCAAATAATATTTAAGGCAATTAATATGATAATACATATATTGGAACATTTTTCACCTTAGTTCAGTAATGTGTATAAGTTGACTAGATAGAGTATATGCCTTTATTTCTTGTTTCTCATTACATTACTGGAGCTTTGCTGAGACAATGCAATAAAACAACTTGAAGAAATACATAGGGGAGTTTTATTCTTCGCATAAGGAATATCTATAATTGAAGATGCCTAATTTAGCACCAAAACAGGACTTCTCTTTGTGGGTCATTATTTAATCTGTTGGTTTGGTACATCTAACTCTTGTAACACTTTTCAACACACTTCCACACATTTCCAAACTTGTTACTATATGCAGCTGTCATGAATAAACCAGCTTTTATCAAACCTTTCTAGCTGTAGCCAATCAGAAAATGCTGACAAGGAAGGTGAGTACAGAAGTCCTGCCCTCTCTTCTGTGTCAGCTAATAGAGATTGAGAGCCCTTGCTGTCAGATAGGGAAAGTCAGGGTTACTGAGCAAAGTCATGATTCTAGTCCTTCCCATAGCTACATAATCCAGCTCCTCTGACAATCAGCTTTGTCCCAATCCACCATCTCTTTGGTTTTGTTTTCAGATATATCTTTTGTGGTCTTGCAATCATTTTCTTTGTCATGACAGTATGTATTTTTTCTCTTGTAGCATAGGGCCCGGATCCACTTTGGAGTCTATGTACCTAGCAGACTTGGCTGGATGCCCTCTTTAAGGGATGTTGGCAGAAAGGGGCAACCAGGATCATGTCCACCCCAGCCACCTGGGCTAAGTCACTTAATCACATTCTCAGGTGGTAGGGGTACCATGTAGTGACTTCCACCCATGTGACATCCCATGTCTATCTTCCACACTGAACCAGCAGAAGGACTGGGTGATTTGTGTTTGATCAATTTGCAGGTGAACCAACTAATGTCTGGATTGAAATCCATAATGGCATGAAATATCTTGAGATGTAACCAATGAAGCTGTGGCCTTTCTGATGGCAACAAATGCATTCTGCATTCACTTTTGTTGCTGAAGGGGAGCTCCATTGCCCACCGATTCTCCATCATACTACTTTATTACAAAATAACAACAACACATTCATGGGAATATGAGCATTGTCACTTACCTGATCCTGAAGCTCGGTGAGACGTCTTGTTCTTTCTTCATCCGAGTCCTCAGAAGAGGTACCACTGCTGCTTTCACTAGAAATAGATACCATTGGCCTTGCAGTGGAGTACAGGACAGGCTTATGGGATGTTGGTTCATCTGGAATTTTGGCAAAGTGCATCTCAAAGACATCCTAAACAGAAGAGAAGTACATAACTTTAAAACTCTGCTGTGATAAAAAAGTTAGATTTCTTTAGCACAGGGATGAGGACCATGTCGGAGGGCTGCAACCTCCATCTACCTCATTATTGGGTATCCTGCTAATAACTCTGGAGTTGCCATTATTACTTCAGCAGTTTTATAATTTTAATGTAAAATTATGTGTTACATTGAAAACACATTCTATATTTTCATTGGTATTTGAAGGTGGGCACAATTGCATTATTGTCTCACCTGTGACCTCACATAAACAGCTGGTTGGCCTCAGTGCAACTAGATGATCAAATCTTGCAGGGTTATTTTTATGTTATTAAATGCATTTTCAAGGACCCACCTGAAGTTTCCTTGCCATAGTCACCACCTCTTGGTCAGGAGAGCTGTATCTGTAGCAGTTCATAAACATTAGCCTAATATCAGCGGCAAATTCTTGTGTGTCTTTATACACATTGTTTTCCATTTTCTTCTGTGAAGAATAAAAGGACTATAGATACAAACTCTGATACATGAGATTCAGACTACTTTCATCTAGTTCAACCACAACCGCTTGAGAATGGCCTCTCTTTTATCCATAGATCTCATTTCACATACAGAATGTTTCTGGACACATTGAAGAAACTTCTGTGGTTACCCAGCTGAGACAACCTATTACATATTGTTCCTTGTTTCTGCTAGAGATGGTACATACACTTGAAGTCTCTGAAGATCCAAAAGTGTGTATTTTAATATTGTAACAGCTGCATAATCCATTCATATGACTAATAATAAACTACATTTATAATGCTACAACTCACTTACTTTAATTGTTCCAAGATCCATAGGACATTTCACAACATCATTATAATCCTCAAGCCCTGGGGCTGTAACATCTATCGGTTTATAAAAAAGCCAAGCATAAGCTTCATGCTGCTTTGAAAACATTTCTGTAAGGATCTCATTACAGTATTTCAATGATTCTGTTAGCTTAATATTTTTTATGGGTTCAGGTGGGTGCTGGGAATCCGGCAAGCCTCTCTTTGTTGCAAGCTCTTCTTCAGATACTTCTCTGGAGGAGATCTTTGAAATTTTGGGTTCGTTTGGTGCAGGAGAAGATTCACTGCTTGCTGTGAGGATTGCAGTAGTGGTATCGGCCTTCCGTTTCACACCCTTTCCCAAAACAAAATGACAAACCAAAATTAAAACACATCCAACTTTTAACTAAGGGGTGAATTGCAATATTTGAAATCTACATTAGAAACCTTTCAGAGATGCTGGCCATAAATGTATGGTTTACATGCAGCTGGACTGTTAGTTCATCTCATTCATTTCCAGTCCAAAGATAATCCTCTATAGGAATTTAGATTTTGGCTGGTAATTTCTCAGAATGTATTCAGACTGGAATCTATACCACTAACTTGAGCAAAAGGACGCTCAGTGGAACTTTACATCTGAATAGACATGTAAAAAATTGCACTACCAGCAATCTTTTAAGAAGCTGAAAGACTGGAAGTGGGAAAAAATGATAGGATAGTTATTTATCTGTTTATAATTTACACCATTTGAGGTGAAAGACAGCTTCTGGTGTATTGAAAAGACATCTGCCAGTAAAAACATGACTTATAAAAAATACAGTAAGTTTTACATACCAATATACTCTTTGCACTGGTTATATCATTAAAATATAATTCAAGCTATAAGTTGAAATGGACATTAAAACATAGAAAAGAAGTACTAAAATGTCCAGTCCATCAATTAATATCTAGTGCTCAGTTCTGCCAAAGATATGCATAACTCCAAATCTCACTGCAGCTCATACTCTTAATAATTATCCATAGTTCAGCATTACAGTGATCTCTATATAATACAGTGTTTGTTCATATTAGTGTTCATCTGCTCAGCAACTTCTCCTCTCTGAAATCACTTACTTTAGTTCCTGTTTCAGTGGCTGACATTACATTTGTTGATTCAGTTTCAGGTGAAGGGTCTGGGGTATGTTGCTGCAGCATTGTCATCCGAAACTGCCTAACTTTCCTAGGTGGCTTTGGTTGTTGACTTTGCTTAGCTTGTGGGATACCTGCATCAGATTGCTCAGCAACTAAGGAAACAAATGGAATAGTGAATGGCTTCCAATAATGCTCCAGAAACTGAAGTTCTAGTTCCTTTGTCCTTTGCCAGCAGATCTTAGTGGCATGGCTGAGAAACCTTGATCATAAGCTATATCTTGTTTTCAGCTAAAGATTATTATGGGCCACAAACCGCAAAAGCTTGCTTATCTTTAGACCAGCATTGCCAACCTTTTCCTTAAGTGTGTTGGACATGTTCAGTCATCAGCCAACCATTTTTGATCAGCCTATGATGCTATTTTTGTACTTTTTCAAACCTTGAGGTTCTTCAAAGACTTTGCATTATGTGCATGTGTTCACGCACATACATTCATTCACACATTTTCACCACATAAAGATCAGCACTTAGAGAATGTTCAATATTAATGTGCAGGGTTTTTTTCAATACAAAGAACCAGAGTCCATTCAAGATGTTCACAATAACCATAGACTTCTAAATAATGTCAGAGAACCTTTTCAGTAGACAACACTGGTTGCCAGTCTAAGCAGTGTTTGTTCTGTAACTTTAGTTATCCTTAAAGGTTTTCCCCTGATGTTAAGTCTAGTTGTGTCCGACTCTAGGGGTTGGTGCTCATCTCCATTTCTAAGCTGAAGAGCCGGTGTTGTCCATAGATGCCTCCATGGTCATGTGGACAGCATGACTGCATGGCGCACCATTACCTTCCCGCTGAGGTGGTACCTATTGAACTCACAATTGCATGTTTTTGAACTGCTAGGTTGGCAGAAGATGGGGCTAACAGCGGGAGCTCACGCCATCTGTGGATTCGAACCACTGACCTTTTGGTCAGCAAGTTCAGCAGCTCAGTGGTTTAACCTGCTGTGCCACTGGGAGATCCTTATGTAGTTTGAATTCTCAAAAGCATTCATCATAGATTACCTGGCTAAAAAAACAAGAATCCCATCACATGGTAATTGTTTTCTGAAGCTGTCATGAGACTTCATCATCGAAAAGAATACAGTTGATCATCCACAATCACAAGTTTAATTTTTGCAGATTTGATTATTTATGGATTATTTGCTGCTACTGCTGCTTCACTATGCTCTTTTAAGTAGAAAATTTAGGGCTCACCTTGGGCAAGCCTCAAGAGACTCAGAGAAACTGCAATATTGTGAAGTGAGGCTTGTAAGTCCCTATTAAAAATGTCACATGGCAGCAGTGGAGCCAGTTCTAATCGATTTGTAATAAGCTATTCCCTAGCATATCAGGGGAAGAAATGCAAGCAGTTGCATTGGGCATGTGGAAACTAAATTCAAAACGTACCAGGATAAGAAAGGCTTAAGGCAACAAAGAATAGACCAGGAGTCACCCAAAAAGACACCAATATAAAACAAAAGCTGTTTGAACCTCAGAAATAAAAGCCGTTAGCACAGGGATAAAAACTGTCATGTCTCAACATATTTGACCAGTCTGGATGAGCCGAGGATCTTATTATTTGCAATAAACTTTTTACCGTGGCTATATACCTTATTGCAGCTATTGGAATTGGTGAAGTTTATCTTTGGTTCATATCTTACTACAGCTCAAAGTGATACATTTCTTCCAACACAATTGGTTAAGTATTTTCTTACCCTCTGTAGTTTTCCTCTTTCTTTTTCCTTGATTGATCACAATTATTTTCTCTTCCAGGGGCATTTGTGCTATTTTCTGCATAAAGACTTTTTCTAGCTCCTGAGCCATGAAAACAATGTCATCACCTGGCTGAAAGAAAAACATAGTACTTGATTTGGGGATGTCTTAATTCTCAGAGGAAGGCAGAACCCTTCTGAACAAATCTTGACTCAAAAAACTCTTGTGATAGGTTCACCTTAGAGTTGCCATTGGTCAGAACAGACTTGAAGGCACACTGCAACAACTGCTTTTAGTAGCTCATTCATTGCACTTTGGTTCTTCATTAGTCTTGTCTTAGGATGCATCTATTCTGCAGTGTAGATGCACTCTTAAATCTACAGTACTCTCTTGTATGTGTGTACTAGAACCAAGATTTATAAAGAGCTTAGAAACTTTGCTTTTAGAGTACTCTATCTCCCAGAATCCCCAAACCAGGATAGTCATTTGCTAGGGAATGCAGACAATTGTATTAGATCAAAAGTAATGTTTTCAAAATATTGTTACAGGTTTCCCCCACACATACCTTCCACTGCTTTCTCCCAAATCAATGCCTGGCAAAATCTAGGAAAGATACAGATTTTGTTTTGGTCTAGGGTTGGTTCCCCCTCCCCTATGTTTGATGTCAGTGTTGGGGGAGAGAAGGAAAGTACTACCTGAGTTTGCTTTTTATTTTCATGCTAATGTCCTGGTTTTATCCCCACCCTCATTTTTTGTTTTATTGTGGACTTCATCTTTTAAAAATCTGTCTTGTTTAATGAGTTTTATAGCAATCGCATTTCCAGTAATTACACTAATAAATGTGATTTCCGTATCATGCATTTCTGAGCATATTTGAATTTACGCGAAGGCCTTTGGCAACAGAAATTGGACTCTGTGTGTCAGCAGGAAGTCACTGGAGACTAATGATGTTCCAGTGACAGAGGTTTAATTTAGACATATGTACAGGCTGAACATAAGACAAGAGCTTGTAACATTAGCTCTAAAACATGCTCCTCTTCTGCATCAGATTTCTAGGGGAACCACTGCATCAAAGGATTTCTACAAAAGAGAAAATATTTATTTAAAGCATTTCTGTAATTTCCCAGCCCACAGAGCAATGATCAAATAAAACATGATTAAAACAAGGATAGAAATATTTTAAATGCATTAAAGTATTCTAAAAGCAGTCTAAACATAATGAAGAATCAGGTTTTGAAACAGTTAAAACAGCACTTTCAGACATGCAGAACAGAATTGTTTTCATCTTGTAGGAAGATTAAAAATAGATGGGGCCCGCCTAACCTCCTTCAGTAGGGAGTTCTCTAGTCAAAGAGCTGCCACAGAGAAATCTCTGTTACACGAGGTGTTGGGGGCATCAAACACTGCTCTTTGTGAAAATCTCAAATTTCTGGCAGGGCAGGCTCACATGGGAGGAGGTGATCTTTCAGATATCTTGGCCCCAAATCATTAGGGATTAATAGGTCAATCCCAGCACACTGAATTGAGCTTGGAAGCAAACTGGAAACCAATTAACTGCTTCCTCTTTTTAGGTGGAGGATACACCCATAAAAAAAGAATTCCTAGTACTACTGCCATTCAAAAGAGGTTGTGTAACTATTCCATCTCTCCTTCCTTAATAGATATTTTGTGGTAAAAAGAGGAGGAAGAGGAGGAGGAGGAGGAAAGAAAGAAATGGTAGGGGTGATAAAGAAACAGGAGTGTTATGGATGAAAAATTGTTAATATTTGGATATACAGTCTGCATGAAATTCAGTGTTTGAGGCAGTGCAGCTGTGGAACACAAAACTTGTCTAGAAGCAAAGATGCCATTCTGGCCTTGATAACTTCAAAGAGCTATACTTGTAGGCCCTTATCATATCATGCCATTATACCATCATAAAAATGTCTTAGTCCCACCACCATCTCATTCTTGTCACATTATGATTGGCTTCTTTCAGTGCTGCTGTGGTTTGCAATAATTGGGAATGCTATATTTTTCATGCTCAGAATAATCTGTTAGTGATCTCCTTTCCCACTTTGGACCTTTTCACATGGGCCCAAATTTGATTATGGGTTTTTGACAATTTCACCATGGAGCCCAATGGCTCCCATCACACTCCAGAAAAGCATTTCCATGGTGGCTCCATGGTGAAACTGGGGGGAAAAAACTGCCGAAAAATAGCTGACAGCAAAAGACAGGAGACACCCCATTTTTCAATACAAATTAATGGTGACAGCTGACAGCTGTGTAACTACAGTTTTGTGTAACTATGATGTTATTGTTTATTGTTCGTTTTTTTGGTTTGTGTTTTTGGTTTTCTTTATTGTAATTGTTATTTGGGTTTGGCCTCATGTAAGCTGCTCCGAGTCCCCATTGGGGAGATGGTGGCGGGGTAATAAATAAAGTTTATTATTATTATTTATTCTTCATGTTTCCTTCCATGTGCAGGGAGCAGGGCAACAGGTTCCTACGTCCCCTGAGCAGGCTGGGATCACTAGGATCCACGACAGTTCCAACAGTGCACGTGAGGTGGTCCTATGACACAGTAGCTTGTTGATGTCTCATTCTACATCCTTGCAAGAACAATCTATTTGTGTGGCTGATTTAGTTGTCTCTCTTTTGTGGACTCCCAAGGTAATCTTCAGCAGCAAAACCCCAGACTACTTCCAACATTTAGACACGGAGAACAAAATGTCTATAGAAAAAAACTTTGCATGGTCTACACTCATGAAACCCTTTCATGAGTGTACAACAGGCAAAGTAAATGGTTACCACTATAATGCAATAATGATGCTATCCTGACCAATAAACCATTTAAAGTCGCTATTTAGACAGCTTTACTGCATAGAGATGTTTTCTAAAGATTTCTCATTGCTTTCTTGCTGCACAGTGTTACTTTTTAATGTTTTTAAGCTAATTGTGTAATAATGCTATGATGTTATGCCATAATAGTGCTGTTATATCTTAATGAGTATAAATGATGCTTTTTGGAACAGCACAACTTGAAACTATTATGGCATAACATCATACCATAACAAACACATTTTTTCCTACAGGAGAAAGGCATCAAAATGTCAGAGGATGGCATGTCCTATTTTTGTTCCTGTTTCCCATCCCTCACAAGGTCAGATCTTGACAGTGATCGATATACAACAATGATGTCATGCTGTAATAATGTTATCATAGTTTAAAGAGTATGAGTGAGCGGTTTTTAACAAGATGTCCTGAAATCACTGTGTGGGATGAGCATTTTAATTTTTCACACGAGAAAGTCATAAAAATGGAGGGGGAAGTCTGTTTCTATTCCTGTGCTACCTGTCACAATGAGAAATTTGGCCAGCAATAGGCTGGCCATAATGCCGCTGTTCCATAATAATGTTATTACAACTACATTTAAAAAATACTGAAGCAAATCAATCATGAAGCTGAAGGCAGGGCAAATGGAGTGGTGATAACAGCATTAGTGCAGATGTAAATTGGCAGATAATGCAATTGCAGTACAAATGTGGCAAGGATGTGATACACTACGTAAACAGCAGCTGTCATTACAAGTACAAGGGAACTGGTTTTCAAATGGTATAACCCTGCACAACAACATGGTGTGATAGGAACTGTAGGTACCTCTCTATTGCTCAGTATAAGCGGGGTAAAATGTGGCTTGCAGGTCATGTGTGGTCTGAAGCTCCCTTGACCCAGAAATTCCCTGCCAATATTTTAATAATAAAATAATGCTTTTCTTTCCTGAAAAAGTTCAGCCATTTTTGTACTGAGGCAGTTGCACAGTCTACAAGCCATCCCCAAGTTACAAATATCAGTATTTGTTTTGATTTTTTAAAATGTTGGACTTGTTTGCTTGTTTTATGTATTCACAGATCTATTTACAAGCAGAGGCTCTGAACTGTAAGGAATTCCTAAATGATCATTCTGACTACTCTAAAATCTATGACAGTATGAATATGCTGATAGCTATACAAGTAGTTCAAAGCAGACTGCTGGCATGGTAGATGTATCTATTATGGATTTGGGGTGCATGGATCCAAAAACAGAAATGTGTTACAACTGAAATACTACAGAGACAGGAAATGTCACACAGAACAATAGCCAGGCAATGAAGTCAGGCATAGCTCTGACAAAGTCATTTTATGCACACCAAGAATTGTCTAACTGATTTTTAAAATATAGCAGCACTGGCAAGGTTACCAACTTCATGTGTTGGTTTGCAACAGTGTGTTTGCAGTAAACTGTGCAATAAAAGTTTGATCTAGTACTTATACTTCTGTGTGTACCCACTTACAACAGGCAAAGTAAACAGCAGCTTCTACCAGAATGCATTATAGATCATGCACAAGTAGCAAAACAGAGGGAAAGAGAGAAAGGAGATATGCCTGTCACACCAACAGCACCTACCATCTAATGAAACATAAATCTATATGTTTGGACACAAAAATGGAAATCCCTACATACATTTTGGGAAAAGCTTTCAACTGGTGTCTATACAATCAAAATATTTTTGTTTACTTATCCAAGACTTTGTTGCTACATTTCACATGGGAAAGAAACATGTTGAACTGCTCCATTTTTCCCCATATTATTTTTGCCTTGGGTATCAAATTTTCTTTTAAAGAAGTAACACTCAGAAACACACCTAATGTGTAACAGAGGCATCACTGCATTAGAAGACATGCTCTTACCTTTTTAATGATGTTCCAGTACTCACTTTCTCCATCCTATTGTGCCTACACATATACTGCTAGCGTCAGAGAACAAATAGCACAACCAGATCACGAAATGAATCCAAATTATGTGGATTTTAATATTCTACATACCTTATTGTACAAATAGCAGTTTGCAAACATTGTCTTAAAGTTTTCAATACATTCCGCTGCACATGTGTAATAGTTATGCTCCAGGCGTTTCTGAATAGTGGTCAAGTCCATTGGGTTTTTAATAATATTATAATAATCCTGTTTTTAAAAACAGAAAACAGGGAGGGGGAGAGACAACCATCAGACTACTCTGTATTTAAAGGGTACATTTGCTGGCCTAGGATACTGACAAGGTATTTCTTTTATTTGTATATATATTAAAAGAGGTCCTGCCATTAATTAAACCATAAATAATAATAATAATAATAATAATAATAATAATAATAATAATAATAATAATGGAAAAACTGACACGATATGAGGATTTAAAGATCGAACTGCAAAGACTCTGGCACAAGACAGTAAAGGTGGTCCCAGTGGTGATTGGCACACTGGTTGCAGTGCCTAAAGACCTTGGCCTGCATTTAAACACAATCGGCGCTGACAAAATTACCATCTGCCAGCTACAGAAGGCCACCTTACTGGGATCTGCACGCATCATTTGCCGATACATCACACAGTCCTAGACATTTAGGAAGTGTCCGACATGTGATCCAATACAACAGCCAGCAGAGTGATCTTGTTTGCTGTGGACTCATCTTGTTGTGTTTCAAATAATAATAATAATAATAATAATAATAATAATAATAATAATAATAATAGATTATGGTAGTACCGACGTCTTTTCCATTTATAGTGGCAGATGTGTGCCACCATGTGGAGACGGTGAAATGCAAGCTACAACGCAGAGAAGAATAGTTTGTCCAATATCTAGCAAGTTCATATGTAAAGAGATAGAGGAATCAAGGAACCTCCTGATTTGCACACTTCTCCATCACACTAAAAAGCTTTCAAGAAGATTTGCACATCTCTCTTCTTCAAAACAAATGCCGAATTCAGTAATATAATACTAAACCATGGGTTATTGCAACCAGAATTTATCAGGCCTCAGCTGGGCTTGTACACTCCTTTCCTCCCTTCACCAGCATCTAGAAGAAAAAGCTTGAATGTCTCCGATTTCAATGAACTGCAATTTAATATTGAATCCAACCCTATGCTGTGCTTATTTTTCAAATTATGGCTTGCTGAAAGAAGCCAGATCTGTGCTGTGTTTCAAATTATTCCCATAATTAACCATTGGGTTCAATAATCATGACAAGCTATAGTTAATCTAAAATAGAAGCAAAAGATTCCAGGCTCTTACTCACAGCTGAGCTGGAAGGAGGAGGAAAGGGTACATGAGCTCTGGCACTGTATAAAGCATGGTTCCTATCAAAACCCATGATGGTTTATTATGGCATCTTAACCCAAACAAAGAGTGTTTTTCACATTTTATTAAGAGGTTATGTGGAGTTGGTGCTTCCTACACTACAGCGATGGATAGTTCTTCCACGTCATGCTTTGTAATGTGTTAATAGCAAAGGAAATACAAAAGCACTGTAGCTTTGCTTCAGTGCCCTAAAAGATAGCCTTTGGAGATGTTACAGAGAATTCTGAATTCAAAAAAATACTTCCAAATATGGGAAATCAATCAGCCTCCAACTCTTAGCATCCTGCAGAATGGAGAAAAGAAGCCCTTGGGAAAAAAGTTTCTAAAGTGATGCCCCCCCCCCCCCCCAAAGTACAGCGATATGAACAGGGATTTATTACCTTGTGTATTTACATAAAAGCTCTGTTGAATCACTATGACGAACAGCATTACTTCATTTAAGATAACCCTTGTTAATGCATATTCATCAAGGAACCATAACAAAAGTAGGTGTGTATTCTCCTTTATAATGAAAACCTTTTACCCATATATCTGTCCTTTCCTAATTTGTTTATACTAAGCCGGAAGCAAAAGAATGCATGGTCAGTTCTTTCAAGCTCATACATTTTTGTGCTTTTCCTAATTGCTTTGACAGATTGAGGAAACCACTTCTGTGCCCCCCCCCCCAAATGGGAACCCTATGGATCATCCAGTCTAACCCAATTTTAATTTTAATTTTAATTTTTTAATTTTAATTTTAATTTTATTATTTACATTTCTTTTATCACAAAGAAATATAAAATCGCAGTGCTATCAGAGATTATTACTGTGGTACCCTAATTAATGCATGTTTCAGTGTGTTTTTCCCTTACAAGTAAATGTTTAGCTGGGCTGTTAGTTCAGAATGTGATTTGAGGATACAAAGGTACAGGGAAGGGGAACTATGCTTTGTCCTTGTGAAGGCACGCTCACACCAAAGAGTTCTCACTACTTTGCCTACATCTATCTATCTATCTGTCTATCTATCCATCTATCCACATAATAAAAGTGAAAATATGTATGTGTGTATGAGGCAGGGGTGTCCACTTACAGACAAGCTCCCACTCCCACAAGCAGCTATAACGTCCACCACTCAGGAGACACCAATGGCCCTCTCTCCAATGATTTGCAGGTTATCGCGAGCACCATGAACATGTACAAGAACCCTGCCAATGTCCTCCACAAACACCATACTGCCCACAACCAAGTGAATGTGTTCATTTGGAGACAATTTCCTCCTAGATTTTATATTTTTCTTCCACCATAGACACCTCAGTGTTTCTGACTCTTTCCATTGGTATGGAATTTGCATTGCCTCATCTGGTAACTGAACATACTGGAGAGGTTTGAGGTGACTGACTCATCATGATGAAAGTTGTAGTTCACCCTGCACAGACAAGGAACCTGGACCATATGTAGCACACAGAACTCCCATGAGCAATAAAAAAATACTAGAGAGGCTTGGGGGCCAGTTGACCTTGATGTATTGTAGTTGTAGGTACTGGGATGTAAAGTTCACCTGCAATCAAAGAGCATTCTAGATCCCACCAGCAATGGACCTGGAACTAACTCGGCACACAGATCCCCCATAACCAACAAAAACTTTGGAGGTGTTTTAGGGGATATATAGGACTTGTAGTTCATCTACATCCAGACAGAACTGTGAACTGAATCTGGACCAAATCTGACACACAGACCCTACATGGCCAAGTTTGAATTTTCTAATGGGAGTATTCATAAAAAAGATTTACTTTTTAAAACTAATGCTACAAATTACCAAACTGATATTACATAACATCCAAAAACAAACAATGCAATTTCCAAATAACCCGGGCATCACTGGGTGTCCAAGCTAGTATATAATAGAAAGGAATGTTCTCGGAGATACTTTTCAACTCTCAAAAACTGAATGCCATATTGATGTCATATTTATGCTTTCAACACAGATACAAACTGATTCCACATTTCATTTTTTCCTCCCTCCACCTTCCTCCTGTTTACACTCCAATGTTGGTCATCTTTGGCATGTCAAAAGTTGGCGGTACAGTGTTCGTACATGTGGATGAAATACAATTTAATGTCTGACTCAGAAATCTGAACAGGCAGAACTGGCCCAAGGGTAGCTCCCATTTTAAAAAGTACATTGAGTGAGTGACCTCTAATATTAACCTCAAGTGACAGTTTCTCTTGAAATCCAACACCAGAAATGCAAGGTGACAGTCACTTTGAAAGCACTTTTGGACAAACTGACCATGTGAGTTTGTCACGAAAAACAGAAGCATGTCTGAGGGGTTTAGCCTTCACTGAAAAGATCAAAGGCCTAGAATGATATTTAGCAAAAAAAAAAAAGGTTCACAGACTATATATATATATTGAAGTTTAGCTAAAAAGATATAGGAGAAAAGGGCTGGAATACTGATAAATACCAATATCAGTTATGACTTGACAGCAATCTTTCAGTACACTGATAAATTAATTATTTACAACATCATATGATTAATAAAAAAGGGGCCGGTTTTTATTTGGTGGGGCAAATAGCAAATTGGTATAACTTTTTTTTCCATTTTCTTTTCCATTGTTTTAGTTCTGGTGATTTTCCATAATAGAAAACAGTAAAGCAAAACAGGAAATAAAAACAACAATTGTTACTTTTTCCTTATTCAGTTTTGCATTACCTTATACTTCTTACAGTCTCACAATAAACCTTTTAAAGGAGTGTGAGTTTTGGGCATGTGCAAACTATTTAAATTTGAATATCTCATTGAGTCTCAACCAATTCTACACAGTTTGTGGCAGCCACAAAAATGACAGTTCTGGAGTATAATAACTACATTCAAAGTAAACACCACATGATAAACAGGAATAAAACTTTCAAATTTTGTTGCATAGTGTAATTGTTAACACTTCTTTTGTATGCCAATGATACTGTACTGTTGTCTATCAAGGGTGGAACTAGCAAGAGAGTTAAAATAAATCTCTTTATAATGCAGCTGGGGAATTTGCATAAAGATCAATCACACCTTGAAATACACATTTTTATTTTTGTTAAAGTATTATCCAAAATGTATGTATAAGGACGCCAAGTAGGTTCTTACCGGAAGTTTCAAACCTGCAGCATCTACAGGTTGATGAAATGGCCAGGAAAAGCTATGCCTCCACATGGCTTTCATGACCACCTTCTGCAGATATTGAAGCTGATTTGTTAAACGGCCAGTTCCTTGGGCATTGATATATTTTGGTGGCGGAGGATTGACTATTGCCAGATGAGGTTGAGTTGGGGTAGTCATTTTTATTCCTAGTGCATTTATCTTGATTTGTCGGTCAGTGTCTTCAGCAGAGGATCTGTAAAGAAAAAAAGTTTCAGAGAAGATCTGTTGATTGTTTTTGCCCCATACAAACTATGATATTTTACAGTTGGGGTAGAAAGTGGAACAGTTATTTGTGACTAAACATTTATTTTTTAAAAAACAAGCTATCAAGAACAGCAATTTTTCTCAACTACATTAGGGGAGGGGAATCTCTTCCTAGCTTTCTGCAACAAGCAATATCCACTGAAGAGCATCCATATTACATATTCATTGCAAGCACAAACCCATGCTTTGAGTGATAGTATTGGATAACAAAACCCCATTGCACAAGATATTACAAAATATTCAAGGATATCAGCATGAATTTAGAGGGGACATGGTTTTAAAAAGGGAATTTTTGGAGATGTCCCCAATGCCCATATGTCATGATTTACTGCCATATTGACCTAATTCTCCAGTAGCCCTATGTTTACAGAAAATGCTGACTGTTTGAGAAATCAGTGCTCCAGAGAAGAAGTTACTATTCAAGGATAACAGTACATCCAGACAAAACCGGCTAGCTGTTGGCTAGTTAGAACCCCCAAGTTTCCCAGTCGCTCTAGAGCCATGTTTGTAACAGACACAGGTAAGATACAGTCATGGTCAGAGAACAACGGACTATAGTTGTGTTATAGTTGTGCCATTGTTAGGATCCCACGTGTGCTATTATGTCAATCAAAATCATAAACAACTAATGAACAACTGTACAGCTAGCTTAGACGAATGAAATGATTTGTCTTTGGAAACCAATGAAAATGCATATTCCATTTACTACACTTACTTACTTAGATGATCCCTCATTGTCCAACTAGGATTGTTTTCCAAGATCAGTGTACTTGTGGTGGGTCCATAGGTGACTGTGGAGCCCTGTCCTTGATCTACATGTTCTCCCGCAGTGAGGGCATTGATTTCCAGGTGGAAAGCAGTCCCAGTTGGGGTTGGCTTGACGCACCTTCCTCTTGGCACGTTTCTTTCTTTCGCCCTCCATTCCTGCCTCTTCAAATTCTACAGCACTGCTGGTCACAGCTGAACTCCAGCTGGAGAGCTCAAGGGCCAGGGCTTCCCAGTTCTCAGTGTCTATGTCAGAGTTTTTAAGGTTGGCTTTGAGCCCATCTTTAAATCTCTTTTCCTACAACATTCTGTTTTCTGTTCTTGAGTTCGGAGTAGAGCAACCGCTTTAAGAGATGGTGATCAGGAATTTGGACAATGTGGCTGGTTCAGCGGAGTTGATGGTGGAGGACCATCGCTTCAATGCTGGTGGCCTTTGCTTCTTCCAGCACGCTGACATTTGTCTGTTTGCCTTCCCAAGAGATTTGCAGGATATTTCAGAGGCAACGCTGATGGAATCGTTCTAGGAGTTGCATGGGATGTCTGTAGATAGTCCATGTCTCAGTGGTGTATAGCAAGGTTGAGAAGACAATAGCTTTATAAACAATCACCTTGGTATCCCTACGGATGTCTCAATCCTCAAACACTCTCTGCTTCATTTGGAGAAATGCTGCACTCGCAGAGCTCAGGCAGTGTTGTATTTCAGTGTCAGTGTTGACTTTTGTGGTTTACTACAAAAGTGATAAAAGCTTTGCAGCCCCATTGGGGATGGCGACAAACCCTTTGATTGCATTCCTGTATATTTGTTTTGTCATTATCGCTATGACTATGCAATAAATAGTTTTTTGCAGTTTAAAAGATTCAACTTTTGTGGTTTCCTTCCTTGCCCTCCCCATTGGAAAGGGGGCTTCTGCTTTTTGGGAAATATTTTGGTTTCTTTGCCCCTACAAATTGACTACAACAGAAACTATGATGAATTTCACTGATGGGACAGGAATATATTTACTTTACTTTTTAACTTCATTTCTATCCCACCTTTCTCCCCACAGAGACTCAAGTTGGCTAACAATATCATGACATAGCCCAATATTTTTAAAAAGATGAATACATAAATTAAACAATTAAATATTTGTGTCATGGACACAATAGTTAAAATACAATTAAAATTACATTTAAAAGCAAACCCTCCCCTTCATATCCCATCCACAACCTGCCCAGCAGCCTGCCTTTCATCATCCCCGAAATGCCTGATGGCAGAGATATGTATTTATCACCCGTCTCCAAAAAGCAAGCAGGGATGGGGCCATCTTGGTCTCTCTTGGAAGGGAGTTACAAAGTCTGGGAGCAGCCACCAAAAAGGCCTAATCGCTTGTTCCCACCAAACGTAATTGACTGGCTGGTGGGACAGAGAGAAGGCCCTCCCCAGATGATTGTAGAATTCTAAAAGGCTCACATATATAGTCCTTCAAATATTCTGGACCCAATGCTTTCCCCATGTGCATAGCCTAAATATATATTAAAAAGGCATCATATTCAGAGCTATTTTAAAAAGGGTGAGATACCAGCAATTTGTACACATACCCTTAGTCATTCATATTTCTCTCTATTCTTCTAGATTTCTTAACAGTCTTCCCAACTGTCATAGAACCTTTCAGGCTGGCTTATGAAGTCTAGTCAAGAGCTCTATAAATGCACTTTTCCCAGAGGTATCCCATGTCAGATTCATCATGTCATTAGCTATACAATATGTATTGTGTCTTGGGCTTCCCTTTAAAAAGCTCAAGGGTGGGTGCATCCTGCCGATTTTCAAAAAGGTCCTCCTCTAACTAAAGCAACAGACCTTAAGGACCTTATCCCATTAAGTGAGGGATTCGCCACACATCATGGCAAACCTGTGTGGTCCTGGAAGGGAGTGTGGAGAACCCATCGTCCCATGCCCCAAATCACCTGAAATATAGTGTTAAATGTAGGCATTGGAGGTAGCTGTCTAGGTTACTTGGTGCACACAATGGAGGGATATACCTCTCAGATAAATGTTATAGTGATTAGCTAAAGCAGTGTTTCTCAAACTCTGTTCGGCCAGGTGTTTTGGACTTCAGCTCCCAGAAATCCCAGCCAGGCTAGGGATCTGTTAGGAATTATGGGAGCTGAAGTCCAAAACACCCGGAGGAGTAGAGTTTGAGAAGCACTGAGCTAAAGGATCTGAAAGAGAACAAACAATGGAGTCTTTAGGCTTCCTTCCAATGCATTTGGCTAAGCTCTTGAGTGAACAGATTTCAGCAACACTAGGTAGGGTTGCCAAGCAAAATAAGCAAGACCTCTTGTTCCTTTAAAAGATGTGCAGAAGAGGAAATTTCAGCAGATGTTGCAGTTTCAACTCTAGCAAGCAGTGATTATGGCATAAACAGATGGAAAAGAAGAGGAGATGGGCTTAATTCTGAAAAGAATTCCAGGGGTATGCATAGTTTCTTATGACCATGTCACTACAATTGTCACATATATACATACTTATAGCTCCTTTGCCATCTTGCTGATGGGTAACTATTAGTTATATCATATGGTAAAATAGGCAATGAGGGTTAGTACCCTCCTACATTGAGAATTGCAGAGTTATTTCTTTTCAGACCATTTCATAGACCAGTGAGAGTTTGGAGTGACCGAAAAAATATTTATTTATTAGCCTATCACATACAGCTTGGGTATCATTTATCCAAAATGTTCAGGAACAGAAGTTATTAATTTTTTTCCAGATTTTAGAGTATTTACAGGGAGCCTAGTTTCGCAGCGGGTTAAAGTGCCGAGCTGCTGAACTTGCTAACCGAAAGGTCGCGGGTTCGAATCCGAGGAGAGGGTTAGCTCCTGCTGTTAGGCCCAGCTTCTGCCAACCTAGCAGTTCGAAAACATGCAAATGTAAGTAGATAAATAGGTACCGCTCCAGCAGGAAGGTAACGGCGCTCCATGTAGTCATGCTGGCCACATGAACTTGGAGGTGTCTATGGACAACACCGACTCTTCGGCTTGGAAATGGAGATAAGCATCAAACCCTAGAGTCGGACACGACTAGACAATGTCAGGGGAAAATCTTTGACTGTACCTTAGAGTATTTTCATATATAAAATGAGATATGTTGGAGATGGGATCCAAATCTAAACACGGAATTTCATATAATACACATAGCCTGAAGAAAAATTAATGCACAATATTTCTAATAATTTTGTTCCTGAAATGAAGTCTATGTGCATCAAATCAATCAGAAAGCTATCTCAGCTATCCATGTGGAGTACTTCAGATTTTGGAATTTTGTATAAGGGATGCTCATTGCTCAACTATATAATGCCTAGCTTAATTATACCAACAACACCTAAGGTACAGATACTGCTAAGGATAAGCATGAAGAATGAAAATGTGCCTCCATCTAGAGACACAAGTTGGACATAGACCAGAGAACTAAAAATGATATTTAAAGCTTATGTCCAGTCTTTGGTAAAGTGGTTCTTGTCTATTGTCTTGAGAATATAGGCTTCTGTTTTGAGAAATCAAAATGCAAAGAAGCTTCCATCTCACATTTTCTTGCTCTAGTGTAGCTTCAACACTTAATAAAACTTAGGTTTTGTTAACTAGTTTACACCATTCATTGGTCAATTGAATATAAAGTCTGCCTTCCCTGATCCATTGGCTCAGGTACAGCAAAGAAACAAAGTAGTACGAGGGGGAAAAACATACTTGTATTTAAGTGAGGATTAAGATGTTATCAGAATCCTAACAGGATTTAATTCAAAGCAATTATTAAGGTACTAAAACACTAGGAAAAATATAGGTTAAACGTGGCCACTGCATTAAAAAGTCACAATAGATGTATACAATACAGTACAGTATGTGAAGATGCAAACTGATGCCTGTGCAATGCATCATTTGGTTAGGGGGAAACAATATTTGCTACATCAAGTACTTCATAAGTATTCAGAATGATTGCTTACGCTCATCTAAGAACATCCTGTTCTAAATATTTGTCTCAAAATTAGATAAATCACGTTGAATCAGCTCGACAACTATGAGATTTTCTTGGCTGCAAAGGTACTACTTCCCCTTAGGAATTTTTCCCCAGTCCTAACTTTCAGGCTTGTTTGGCTCTTTGTTGGAGCATCTAAAGAAGCTAAAGGACACCAGTCTACCAATTTTCAAAAACAGGGGTCATGGTGGGAATTGGGGTAATAAATTTGCACAAACCCTAAGGTGTTGTGCTTTGACATTAATAATAATACCATCTATCTCATCTATATCAAGTGACCACAGGGCTACTATCATCTTTCTAAATGGACAAAACACGACTGATCTTTTCATACTGTAGATACTTGTAATGATTGCAGACAACAACAGTTAAGGCTTTAAAAATCCCCCTTTCTGGTTCACTAAAAAGGTCACCAAAACCCCAAAAGTTTTCTATTAAGGCAGCCTCTGTTACTCATAAGTGTAAGAGAAAGTTTGCACTGCTACAAGTTCATAGTAAGGCTAATCTTCTGGCTTAATAGTTAAAATTGTTTTTTCCACATTGGATGTTTACCTTTTAGTACCAGCCAACTTTACTGCCTTTACAAAGAGGAATAGTTGAAGACTCTTATCACAATAATTATATTATTCTTGTCACAGTATTTTACCTGTTAAAGAGTGGATATACAAATTCTGGGAGCAAAACAGGTCAGAACTTTCACATCTGCTTTTGTGGGTTTTAATCATGTCAGCATGTTGTCACAATGGCAACACTTGCATACTTCACAAGTATTTCTACCTGATTCCTTCCATGTTGGCCTGTAAAAGTAGCATCACAAAACCACTCACAAAATAATTGACAGATTACTTGTACTTCAATTTTACAATCAAGCAACAAGGGAAGCCAATTAGGCAGACAATAGAATATTTTTAGGCACAAAGATACTGTAGATGCAGACTGCAGCCAGGAAATCAGAAGACGTTTACTACTTGGGAGGAGAGCAATGACCACTTTCAATAAAATAGTGAAGAGTACAGACATCACACTGGCAATGAAGCAATGGTATTCCCTTTAGTAAGCTATGGATATGAGAGCTGAACCATAAGGAAGGCTGAGTGAAGGAAGATAGACCTTTTTGAACTGTGATGTTGGAGGAAAATCCCAAGAGTGCCTTGGACTGCAAGAAGATCAAACCAGTCCATACTCCAGGAAATAAAGCCTGACTGCTCACTAGAGGGAAGGATATTAGAGGCAAAAATGAAGTACTCTGGCCACATAATGAGAAGACAAGAAAGCTTGGAGAAGAGAATGATGCTGGGGAAAATGGAAGGAAAAAGGGGCAACCAAGGGCAAGATGGATGGATGGTATCCTAGAAGTGACTGGCTTGACCTTGAAGGAGCTGGGGGTGTTGACGGCCGACAGGGAGCTCTGGTGTGGGCTGGTCCATGAGGTCACGAAGAGTCAGAAGCAACTGAATGAATAAGCAACAAAGAGGAAGAGATGCATGCATTCTACCTTTTGTGAAAGACATGTTTGGTGCACATTCCACTGAGTTGAGTTTTATAGCTATAAGCACCGAAGCAGGCTAATCCAGTGCATGTTTATAGAGAAGCAAGATCTATTGAGTTCAATGGGGTTTACTCCTCAAAGTAGCTGGTACCTGAACTTGCATAGAATGCTTTGCTTGATGTCCTAATAAGGCTGGGGCTTATGTACTTGTAGCAGTTGTCCTGCAGTGATGGATAGATACACTTCATAGCTTATCATAAAGTCTTTCTAATATTGGTGCCTGCTCCCTCCCCCCAAAAAAAAGGCTGGTGAAAATTTGTGCTTGCTGTACATTTACATTAATATGTTCACATGTCAAAAGCCAGTGTGTGAGGTCCTGTGCACCTCTGCTCAAAAACAAACCGCTTACTGAGTTTGGAGTTTCCTAAACCATGCTCTTTCCCCACGTCTCCTCTCTTTGTGCACCAGATTCAGCATTTCATCCCCAATCTCTTCTACTTCATTTTCATATATCCAAAACAAGGAACCCTCACTCAATTTGGCATATTAATCAAAACAAATTTAAGACCCTGGTTAGTTTAAAAAGCCACAATTGTTATGGCCAAACATAATTTTATATTGAAAGAATCTATGCTTCTATTTTGAGTGGAGTATTGAAATAAGATCCCAATATTGTGTGGACTGTATAACTAAAGTTCTTTCCCCCTTTTTATGAGAGTAAGAGTTGTTCTGTCAAATTATAAAAGGTTACTGAAGCTTTGATGTCTGATTCATCACATTACTTGAGGTTTTTTTTATTTGAAGAAGCTGTATAATTATACCCGAAATTCTGAATTTGTTGCATTTGAGAGGCCAGAAAATAGAAAATCTTGCCCATATTTGGACATCAGACTTTGAACTGCAGGGTTATACAAAGTTTGCGCCCAGTAGAATCTGAGCACATTCAATTTTTTCCAAAATGTGTGATTGATTTTTTCTCTCTGTTACCCCAGCCAAAGATTTATTTTCCCCAAAATCAACACAGAGGTGAAATTGGCCATGAAACGTATCTTAGAAAGTGAATGATGGAAATATGCAGATATATAGGTAGTTAGAGATATGGTTTTCTTCAATAAACTGGTGGTTATACATTTTAGGCCTTCAGAACAGTGAGGAAATGAAAGATTTCTAAGTCAGATATTTTCATCAGCAGGTTTTATAGAACAGAGAAAATCCCAGAACAAAAAAAATGTATGTCAAATTGCAAACAGATCCTCAAAGTTTCTGGCAACATAATTGCAAGAGCGGAAAAGAATTTGGATAACGGTTTTCAGGATTCTGGAAATTGCAATACTAAAAAGTGCCAGTCACAAAAAATACAAGGCTTGAGCAGAAGGATAACTGAAAGAATTGGTATCAGAAAGACTCTTGACTCTTTCAGATACCTTAGGCACGACAGCCAGAAAAATCAGGTGATGAAAGCGTGATCTGCAGTGTTATACTGCAAAGCCAAGAGAAGAGTCTTTTGACAGCATTTTAAGGGCACATTAATGTTGCCAGAAAAGGAGGTGATGATTCCAAGAATCTAGAGTATATTTATGGATTCTGTAGAGCAGCAAATCCTAGATCAGCATTTCTTAACCTGGGGATCAGGACCCTGAGGAGGGAGGTCGCAAAGGATGTCAGAGGGGTCGCCAAAGACCACCAGGAAACACAGTATTATCTGTTGGACATGGGGGTTCTGTGTGGGAAGTTTGGCCCAATTCTTTCATCTGTGAGTTTCAGAATGCTCTTTGATTGTAGGTGAACTATAAATCCCTGCAACTACAACTCCCAAATGTCAAGTTTATTTTCCCCAAACCCCACCAGTGTTCATATTTGCGCATATTGAGTATTCATGCCAACTTTGGTCCAGATTCATCATTGTTTGAGTGCACAGTGCTCACTGGATGTAGGTAAACTACAACTCCAAAACTCAAGGTCAATGCCCACCAAACCCTTCCAGTATTTTCTGTTGGTCATGGAAGTTCTATGTTCCAAGTTTGGTTCAGTTCAATCATTGGTGGAATTCTGAATGCTCTTTGATTGCAGATTAACTATAAATGACAGCAACTACACCTCCGAAATGACAAAACCATCCCCTGCCCAACTCCGCAAGTATTCAAATTTGGCGTATCGGGTATTTGTGCCAAATTTCATCCAGTGAATGAAAATGCATCTTGCATATCAGATATTAACATGACGATTCATAACAGTAGCAGAATGACAGTAGCAACTAAAATAATTTTATGGTTGGGGAATTGTATTAAGGGCTAGAAAGGTTGAGAAACACCATCCTAGATAGTCTTTCAGTAAAAGGATAAATCATAGAAGGGAGCTGTGTGTGCTTAAGATGCTATTGAACTATAACTCCCAGGAAGCTAGGGCAGCTGTCCAGTGGCTTCTGAAGAACCACACCATTCCTATTGATTGTATAAAGTTTCACATAAAGCTCAGGCTTCCTCAACCAAAAGAGTATTTCTATCATGTTGGTCTATCATAAAACACAAACCGAGCAGATTAAAATAATACATATGTTGATTGTTTCATACCTTATCTTTTCCAAAGTTTCTGTAAAATTTCTTTTTAAAGAATAAAGCATAATTCTTCACCTTTGTTTTGAATCACAGTTGTCTATTTGCGTCGAAGTCCAGGTGGTTCTTATCATGAGTTCAAAACCACCCCTTGCAAGGCAGGACTCAGTCACCACAGCTGATGACTTTCATGAATTCTCAGGTGCTTCTACTCAGATTGTGTGAGTTTGTTAAAAATCCACTTTGGAACAAAGACCTTGATGGTTTAACAAATAGTCTTGGCTGGAAAATAAGAGTTTGTGGTTTCAGTTGCATAGGTAAGGCTTTTCTGTGGGAGCAGAACTTCAACCATAGTGCTGTATTTAACAACAAAGCCAATAACTCTTTTACTTACAGTCAGGTGATTGTGGGGCCTTCTGCTGTTTGTAAAACAGTAGTGGAGTGACACCACATAGTAAACTACACCAGGATGATTTGGTGTTGATGTGAGGCACATAGTTTCCTCCAAAGGAAATCTCTATTATCATAGTGGGGCTTTCTACAAAGTCAGAAGCTTTAATTTCAAAATCACCAGTATTAATCCAAAAACGGAGTGGACATGACCTTCCACAGGTTTGGGATTACAGCTCCCATCATCTTTCATAATTGGCTATGTTGACTAGGAGTCATGGTCAAACAACACAGCTTATTTCCTACCCCTGGTTTACTACTTTCTTTTATTATTGCATCATATAGTAATCATAAATTTGTGGCAAGTGATAAGTTTTTCTGAAATGAAAAAGGCTGCTTGTCTCCACAAGTCTGTTTTCAGACCCCCTCCAGCTTGACTTCCTGGTCTGAATTTGATCTTTAAAAAGACACTTGGTCTGTTCTAGAAATCAGGAGTCAAATTTTGTAATAGAGCACTGGTATGTATTGGGTGGCATAGCGGGCTAAACTGCTGAGTTGCTGAACTTGCTGACCAAAAGGTTGGCAGTTCGAATCCGGGGAGCGGCGTGAACTCCCGCTGCTAGCCCCAGCTTCTGCCGACCTAGCAGTTCGAAAACATGCAACTGTGAGTAGATCAATGGATACTGCTTCTGCGAGAAGGTAATGACACTCCATGCAGTTATGCTGGCCACATGACCTTGGAGGTGTCTACGGACAATGCCAGCTCTTTGGCTTAGAAATGGAGATGAGCACCCCCCCCCCAGAGTCAGACATGACTAGACTTAATGTCAAAGGATAGTTTGATTGAGTCTGAATTTATGTTTTTATATGTGCATGTGTTTTATTGTATTTTATATTGTGTTTACTTTATGTATGTTTTTAGGCTTAATGTCAGGGGAACCTATACCTTATATATTGGGTGAATGAGTAACAATGAGTCACAATATGATAATTCATAAGCATTGCTCAAATTTTCAAAGATCACTCTTGATTTCTCCAAAGTGATATGTACTTCTTATCTGAGAGTAAGTACAATTGAACTCAATGAACCCAGTGGGACCTATACATACTGTATAAGCATGCATAGAATTGTGTTGTAAGTAACCAGTATGTTCTACATGCCCTTGTGTTCTTTCTGTAGTGACCAGCTGCAAGAGAGGACTCTAGAGAGGACTCTAGTACCTTTACTGGGCCCTTCCAGACAGGCCCTATATCCCAGGATCTGATCCCAGGTTTTCTGCTTTAAACTGGATTA